TGCCTGCTCCTTGAGCTTGGTCCTCCTCATGGCTGTGCCTGCTCCTTGAGCTTGGTCCTCCTCGTGGCTGTGCCTAGCCCTCCTCGCATATGGGCTCAGTGCTCCTTTGCATGTGAATCCATAGGAGTCCATGGTCTCCATGGAAACTGCACTACGACCATGCTCTCTACTGGTATCAACTAGGTCTTCGATACCTGTGCTCCTTCCATATGAACCAGTGACCCTCCTGCTTCTTGAGCATCCAGGCCCATGACAACATGCCAATCAGGCTGATTCCAATCGATCCTTGTGAGATTAATCAGGATCCCAGAACTCGGTTGATCTTGCAAGCCATATGTGCTACCAACCCAATTAGATCATCGATTCCTGATGATTGCCATAGATCAATTTGGCGCACACTTCATATGCTGATCCGCTGACCCTGTGACACTATTGCTCAATGACGACAACGACCCGAATGCAGGGTAACCGGCTAAATCGGGAAATTACCCGATTGTCCTCAAACTTCTGCACAGGGACTGTACTATACTTTGAGAGTCGCATTTTGAGATGGTGCCAGAGGTGTTTGATCAGGTTTAAGTCAGGCAACTGTGCTGGCCATTCCATAGCCTTGATGTTATTGCTTGTCAGCCACTTTTTACTTTTCTTGGACATGTGTTTAGGGTCATTGTCTTGCTAAAAAATGATATCAGTATATGCATGCTGAAGGCACAAATCTGAGATTGTTTTCACAAGCTTGTCCTTCAATATTTTGATGTACTGGTCTGAATCCATTATACCCAGCACCAAGTGCATACCTCCCACCCCTTCCCACATCATAAAGCCCCAGATCATGATGGAGCCACTGCCAAACTTGACTGTAGGCCTGACAAGCTTACTGTTGAAGCTGGCATTCTTAACCCAACAGAACTGCTTACCATCTGGTCCAAAGAAGTTGATCTTTGTCTTGTCTGACCATACAACCTTCTTCCATTCTTCAACAGTCATATCCTTGTGCTTGTTGGCAAATTTACAATGGGCTATGTAGTGTCTCTTGAGTAGCTTGGGTTTATTCACCAACCTCCTGTCATAGGAGCCGGATGCGCAGGAAGCAGGAAGAAGTTGAAGTCATATGGAGAGGAGCACAGAAATCATGGGATTGGGCTAAACAAGAGCTTAAGGAAGAGTTCACTGAGATTGGTAGTAGAAATGACACTATGGCTTAACTCGTCAGGATCAGCAGGAACAAGTTCGTTACTACAGAGTTCAGTGGGAATAGTAGTATCATGCTCGCTACAGAAGATTTCACAGGAATTGGTTCAAGGGGGGCCTCTATTGCTGATAGGACAAGAGGGCAACAACGAACAAGGAGAGGTTGCCACCAGATGAAGAAGGGGCCCAACCAGATGATGAACTTAAGGCAGACTGGTGGGCGAGATGAGTAGGAGTGTGCATCACCACTCAGATGAAGTGGGACTGGCCCCTGATGAAGATGAGGCAGCAAGGGGCCCATCCATCCACAGGAGACAAGGGAAGTGGTGCCAACAAGTAGCATCATAAGATGGATGGGAGCAAGGGAGGCACAAGGAGGGGAAGCAGTGTCGTGGGTGACACTGCAAGACAGGTATAGAACCATGCTCCCAGTCATAGCAAGTGAGTGGATCACCATCCACTCTACACCATACAAACTAGTTATTGTCACAGGGACGGCTGGCCTGCGCAAGAGAGTGCGCCAAATGATCAGCGGCAGTTATGGTAATGACACGTAACGGAGCAGTATATGAAGGTTGTGCAGAAGATCAACATGTGAAGGGTGCACCAGATTGATCAGAGCCAACAACCATCGGGGATCAACGAGATTAATTGGGTTGGCAGTGCACATGAATTACGAGATCGATCAAAACCCGGGAATCCAGATTGATCTCATGGGATCGGTCAGAGTCAGCCAGATCAGCATGCTTCAACTAGTCAGCCGATCTGAACAAGTACTCAGAGCTGTGCCGATGTTGGAGTCAGTTGGATCAGCATGCTTCAACTAGTCGGCTGATCCAAACAAGTTGAGATGGAACTGTGCTGATGTGACCACATGACCAGGGGGTATGATCATGAGGTTCAAAGGGGTTTCACAAGATTAAGTTGAAAGGGGGCTGTGCTGAAAGGGGGCATCACACATCAGACAGAAGGAGAGTATGTAGGCGAGAGGGCAGTTTTGCATAACCCTTACGCTGAGCAAATGGTAGGAGTGCAGTATCGAAGGGGTTGGTGCCAGCAGGGCAAGGCAGTGCCTAACAGGGGACAAAGGCCCCTCAAGAGGAGCAGGATAGGTGTTGAGGGAAAACACCAACTGGACATATAAATACTCTCATTCTACCATAGCATACAAGTGGATCAGTATCCACTCTGGACTCAACTTACTTACTCTATACTTACTCAGTTACATATCATCGCAATAGCAGTGCTCTTGCAATGACTCTCAATGTGTGTGTTGTATCACCATTAGTCGACAACTGTAGGCAGTGTTCTTCACACTAGTGGTCCAGTTCATTACTGTAGGTGGTGTTCTTCAACACCTGTGGTCCAGTCCCTTGCTGTAGGTGGTGTTGCTTGACACCAGTGGTCCAGTCAGTTATTGCAGGCAGTGTTTCACACCAGCAGTCCAGTAACTCCTGTCCTCTGTAGGCAATTAGCATATCGCAGTCCAGTCGATGTCCAAGAGCATTATCAACAGTACTACAAACACTCATACTGTAGGGGAGGGTGTATCACCCACTCACCAACAAACAACGTCCATGCTGTGCAACCTCTGAATGGAGTGTTCAAGGCAGTCAGTCAAGACTTACTAGGCAACGACGCTTGGTTATGTTTAGGCGAATCATATCGAGTAGACCTTACTCAATCAACCTCAGCTAGTCTCTGGTGCGCGATCGCTTACAGTTATCACTTCTACTCAAGTATACATTAGTTTTCAGTCAGCAAAGTAGCAATCACAAATAGATTGCTTCCATCATAGCACATGTGTTGTATCACCACTCACTGACATCTGAAGGTGGTTCATAGCAAACCAGCAGTCTGGATAATGATAGAACTGAAGGCAGTTGTCCACTGCAGTCTGGGGATCACCTCAAGCACCCAGTCAACACACTGGACACTCATGTTGGTGCCACCAACAATCTCATTCACACCAGACCTTGGTGTCAGTGTATAGTTCATACAAGTTATTGATCATGCCAAGCTACCTCTGGATGGAGTGTCCACAGTGGTTAGTCAAAACCTGCAATAGCAAAACCACTACTACATCTTTGGGTGAGAAAAGTGATAGAGACCTCTCTACTACATATCTTGACAAGAACAGTAATACATCATGCATTGTCACATATCTCAACAGGATTTGTAATAGATGCATTTCTATTACAGATATCAGGTTTTAGGTGCGAGACCTCTGACACCTCCATGCTTTGTAGCGACAATATTGAAGTGCTTTCTGTCAGTGGTCGCACACCTGAAACCTGAAATCTGTAGTAAAAGACAACTACTACTGATCCTAGCGAGATCTGTGGTAAAAGCCCTTTATTATTGTTCTTGCTGAAATCTGTTGTAGAGGCCTTCTATGGCTTTTCTCGCTCAAATATGTGGTAGCTTGTGTCATGGGGCCGGATGCGCAGGAAGCAGGAAGAACTGAAGTCAGATGAAGAGGAGTGCAGGAATCGCAGGATTGGGAAAAGCGAGGGTTTAAAAGTAGAGTTCATCGAGATCTGTAGTAGAGAGGCTTTATGACAGATCTTGTCCAAATCAGTATGAGCAGGATCTTACAGCAAAGCTCACTGGAATCTGTAGTATCCTGATCATATGACAGTTCTTGTGGAGGATGCCAATCCCATGGACCTCACAACAAGACAGATGGTGAGGACATGGGGGTTGCCACCCTGATGGAGCAGGGGGCCAACTCAACAATGAACTCAGAGCAGGGGCGAGATGAAAGGGGGCGCGAGTCGCCACTCAGATGAGGTGGGAAAGGCCCCTATCAGGTAATTAAGCGGCACGAGGACTCTCCATCTGCAAGAAGCAAGAGAAACAGTGATATGGAGAGCTATTGTAAAACAGGCAGGACTGTTGGGAGGGAGAGTCGAAAGGAGGAGGAGCAGTGTAGGAGGAGACCACATAGGGTAAGAGCAGTGCCGCTGGCGACACTGCGAGGACATCTATATAACGCACACCTGCTCTTCATCGTAGTGATTGAGTGGAGTGTCACCGGAATGGTTCCGTTCTCCGAGTCCGGAGCATTTGGGAGTGAAAATGCTTATACTTCAGTGTTGTGTGAATCGGGTACACCAGCTAAGGGACTAGCTGGTGTAGTGGTTTTACTGCTCACTATGTTCGGTTTGGTTACCCGATTCCCAATCCCGTGACAGCATGGTGCAGTATTCAAGTTGGCAAGGCGTAGTAAGCGATAGCGTTGTGAGCAAGGCAAAGGCGATGATCCTAGAGCAGGAGCAGTCAGACTCTTAATCTGTTGAAGAGCATGCAGCAAATAACATTGATCACAAGTATTGATTGTGATAGAGAGCATAACTAAGTACATGATAATGGTCAATATATATATATATGTTCCAACATGTGTGATACAGGGATGTGTTGCCCAGTGAATGATGCTGAAACATGATGGGGTAACTGTGTTGGGTAACAGTTAATTGGCATGCCAGTACGTGTCTCAATAGTCGATCCAGGTAACATGAAGCAGATCCGAGTGAGCAAAGTTGGTGTCAATGTGAGATCGGGTTAGGAGTCACATGCTTTAACTGAGAGGCTGTCACCACAAGGCTTCGCCACACTCACTACTTCTGTATCTCCGTGCTGCCTTTTTGGCAGCGTGTGAGACCGACTGTCTTCTCACATGGCGAATTTCAGCTACGCTCTAAGCTTTCCCCTTACTCATTAATCGAAACGGAAGCTTACACACTGAAATAGGTGGCTGATGAGGGGCGATGTGGTATACTTGTGCTTGCGAAGTTATGAATGATACATCATGCGAACTTAGCCATCTTACGAGGGGGACCGTTCCCATTCTGATAATGTCTGTCATCCTCATCCTCCTCCTCTTCGTCTTCCTCATCAACCCCATCAAGACCACCAGAACTGGGTCCAACATCCAAAATCGGCTCGATATCCACCCCAACCATGTCTCCGTACTCTTCAATAACGCTTTCGAATGTCTCTTGCAGCTTCGCACGCTGTTGTGCCTTCTCCAGCTGAATCAAGATGTCCTTGTTTTGGCGGTAAATTCTTGCCTTGACCTGCAATCTGTACTGCTTGATCTTCTCTTCGTCGCTCGTGTCCAAATTCATAAGCTGCACCATCTCCAACACTCTTGCCCACTGTCGAGGCGCGAGTTTGTGTTCCAGCCGTTTCTGTTCGATCCACTTTGCATCGACCGGCGCATGAAGCTTGCCTTCTGCTTTTGCTACCTCGACGAATCCGCCCGGTGCGAGCAGACGGCGAAGGTCGTTGCCATCGCGCAATCGATCAAAGTCTTCTGATGGATCTTCTACTGTCAGCTCCAAAACGGAAGATCGTTGACGGATCTGATCGTAGACTGTGGTGTAGAGAGCACCTCCATGACCCTGTTTCTGATAAGGCGGAAGGACGACGAATTGAGATAGTCGAATGCGTGAAGAGTCGGGCCAGCACCAAAACTTGTACAAGCTTGTGTATCCCATAAAGTGCCATGTTGACTTCTCGCCTTTTTTCACCTTTTCGTACAGCGTAAAGAACTCCCAGTTGGTCTCCTCCTCCTGAATGTAGCTCGCGCCTTCGATGAAGAGCAACACAAAGAGCTGCATTCGACGATGATACTCTCGGAACCCTGGTGTTTCCCATGTCGAGCGGTATACTTCAAACACCCGTGCATTTGGATCATCCTCTGACAGCGCCGAAGATGCAAGTGATGCAACGTTGGCAGACTTGCCCTTGCCCTTGTTCACCTTGCGCCGAGTATAGCTGTGCACCTTGTCACCAAGTGGGCGGAAACTAGCGCTTTGCCCCAGAGCTGCGTCAAAGTCTTGACGTGCTGAAGAGGACATGGAGGTCGAGATGTGGTCGGCAGGTAGGAACCCTTTGATCTTGCCTTCTGCATCGTCGAGGGTTGCTGTGGTTGATTCGTTCTTGGCGCGGTACTTGACATCAAGCAGTGGAACGAGGCTGCCTGATGCGACGTCAAGATTGATGGAGAGTCCCTGGTAGCCGTAGATAGTTTCGGCTTCGCCATAGATTGGATATGTGAAGGTAGGGTGGAAAGGTGCGTCGGTACCATGAGGCGAGCCAACGAGGCGTATCGCCATCGAGGTGGTGCTATTTGACGTCCAAGACTCGGTCATGGTGTCCTGGAGACCAGATGATTGATTCAAGTTGGTTCTTTGAGGTGCTATGCGGCTGAGATGAAGGCAATGTAGAGCTCTGATGCCCGATCGAAAGCGATGACGGCTTGTGCGATGCGGCTGCAATGGTGTGGCTATGAGTGATGAAGTTAAATCTGAAGAATGAGATGCGGAATATGAAGTCATGAAAGAGCGGAAAGTTACATTCTTCCACCTTTTGACACGCGCCCGAACAGTTAACGCGTTGTTGCTTCACCCAAAAGCATCAGCACATTTCACAGCACTTCACCTGCAAGGCAGAAACGCGTGCTTCGACTCTGACTCTAGCATTCCTGAATGGCCGTCTGATCACGTTCATCAATGGTGTTTCTCACATCAACTTATGGACTATCTCATATCTGGGCAATGGCACATGATCGAAGCTTATTCTACTATCTCTTTGACCTAGTGCGAATGTTCCGTAGGGGAAAAGGTGATCTAGTGAAGAAGAAGAGCCGGCTAGCCGTCTCTTTGTACCTTACTGATCGAGCCTGGCAAGACCAGCTTCAAGCGCCATCGAGAAGAAAATGCTCTGTTTGTTGGCGAGCAGGTTCTCAGGCGTATCGAACTCGGCAATTGATCCATCCTTGAGCACCAATACACGAGTCGAGTCGATCACAGTGTTGAGTCGGTGCGCCACAGTGATGGTGGTGCCCTTGAACTCGGAACGAACGATCGCCTGCACTTGGGCATCGGTCTCGAGATCAATGGCGCTCGTAGCCTCGTCAAGTACGAGGATCTTTGCATTTCGAAGGAAAGCTCGAGCGATGCAGATGAGTTGACGCTGACCAGCTGAGAAGTTGGTGCCTCCTTCAGTGAGTTGTGCGTCCAAATTGCCTTCGAGACTTTGAACGTGGTCCTTCATTCGTGCCTGCTCGAGAGCCTTCCATAGAGCAGCGTCATCTGAGCGACCGGTGGGGTCAAGGTTCTCTCGCAATGTGCCTTCCCAAAGCTGAGGATCCTGAGGGATGATGGCGATTGCAGATCGAAGGTCCTTGAGACCGATCTGAGAGACGTCGATACCGTCGATCATGATCTTGCCTTCAGCAGCCTCGATGATACGGAAGAGAGCGAGCGTCAAACTCGATTTACCGGCGCCAGTGCGACCGACAACACCGATACGCTCGCCAGCCTTGATCTCAAGATTGAGCTTCTTGAGCACCAGACCCAGCTCACGTCGGTAGCGTGTCGAGTACGACTGCATGCTGACCTCACCTTTGCTGGGCCAGTCCGAGGGAGGAGTCTTGTCAGAAACCTCGTAGGGTGCCTCGGAGACCAGATCGGTGTATGACATGACTCGCTCGACACTGACAATGTTCTGCTCCACCTCAGAGGCAGATCGAACGACCCAGTTGAGCGTCTGCGTAGTGCTGAGAGCTTGCGACATCATCAATCCAAGCAAGCCGGCGTCCATCTTGCCGTTCTTGGTTCGGATGAAGATGGCCAAGGTGGAAGCGATGAAGATGATGACGGAACCCATCATCTCGATACGCACAGCAAGCCATCGATTGCAAGTGACGGCAGGGAAGTAGCACTGCTGGTTGCGGTCCACTCGAGCCTCCGAGGTTGCGATGAAAAGAGCTTCCTGACCAAAGGCACGAATCGAGCTGAGACCGCCAAGCGACTCCTGGAACCAAGTGAAAATGGGTGTCTTGCTGACCGAGTCAAGACGCTTAAGCTCTCTACTGGTGGCCAAGTAGTATCGCAAAACAGCGCGGTATGCGAATGCAAGTGGGATGATGGCGATGAGGAAAGGCGGCACCGAGTACGCAACGATGCACAAGACACCGAGCACGACCACCATCGTCCTGATTAGGCCGTGGATGACACGCGGCAGCACCTCGTCGATAACGTTGACGTCGCGCGAGAACAAGTTCAGCAATCGTCCGGTGGGTGTGGTCTCGAACCACTGGAGAGGACTGCGGAGGACAGCGTCAAACATGCTGTCGTGGAATTTGCGTGCACTGGAGATAACGAGCCATGTCCAGAGGATGAAGGGAGCGATGCAGATGCAAATGGAAGCGAGAATCCCAACAACGCCATAAATGGTCAGGTAGAAGCGTGTCGTTGAAGCATCGCCACCGGTCTCGTTAGCTTTGCCCCACTGTTTGAGCACAACATCTCGAGAGACGGTCATGACTTGAGACAGGACGTTGGCAAGGAGATATAGGACGACACCAAGGACACTGCAGCTTTTGATGTATTGACGGTAGACCTCAGGCTTGACACTGCCCTGCTCGGACTTCTCCTTTGGTGCTGAGCTCTCCTTGAGTTGACGAATGGTTTCTTGCTTGATTTGCTTCTTGGAGAGAGTCTTGGGTCGTGCCATCGAGGCGGAACTGATGCGACGGTGCAGCTTGGAGCTTTTGAGACTCTCCTCGCCACCTTGGCCGTGCATATCCAGCTCCTTGTCCATATCGATCACTTCAAGGTCCTTGGGAGGTGTTTCAGTTCCGTCCTCGTTGGACTGCTCACGAGCAGACTGCTTGCCGAGACCGGTGATGAGGTTGAAGAGATCACCTTTCCTTGCCATCACTTCATCGTATGTTCCGCGTTCGTCAAGGATGATACCTCGTCGCACCGAGACGATCTGGTCGCATTCGGGAAGGCAGGAGACCGAGTTGAGGGTGAGAATACGAGCCTTGTTGCGAAGCAGACCCTCAGGACCAATGACGTGCTTGAAGATATGGGCACCGACGTGAGCGTCGACGGCAGCGAGTGGGTCATCGAGCAGATAGATGTCAGCTCGGGAGTAACAAGCACGAGCCAAAGCGATACGGGCACGCTGACCACCAGACAAGCTGACACCACGCTCTCCAACCTCAGTACGGTCACCTTCGGGCAAAATGTTGAGATCAGGCGTCAGGGCGCAGGCATCTATGACTCGCTGGTAGAAGTCGGGTTCATACTTGAAGCCGAACAGGATGTTGTCACGCACGGTAGCACCCATGCACCAGCCACCCTGTGTGAAGTAAGCAGTACGACCCTTGACAATGGCTTCACCATCGGTGCGAACCATCTCACCCAAAACAGCTGAAAGAAGCGAACTCTTACCATCACCGACTTTACCGAGAACAGCAAGCAGCTCTCCCTTCTTGACGGTGAGGTTGATATCTTGGAGCGTAGGAACTGGCTGCGAGCGCGACCACTTGAACTCTCCGTCACGAATGATGACGACTTCTTCATCGCTGCCAGGCTGGTGTGCATCGTTGGTCGAATCGTTGAGAGCCTCGAGCACATCACCCGGATGGGATGGATTGCTGGGGTTGAGTGGCTGCTGCTGGCCCGGAAGAATGATCCTACGAGCGGCTGGGTCGAGCTCACCGGCATCGAAGAAGTCCGAGAGACGCTTAGCAGAGACTTGAGCCTGGAGCAGAGCCGAGATGATACCAGCAAACATAGCGATGGGGAATGAGAGCAGCTGGTAGAGAGCCAAAGCCGGGAAGATAATGTCGGCGGTCAAAGGCTCCGGGTTGGTGTAGGCGTAGGTGACGAAAGTGCCGAGCGAGACGAAGAAGGGAATAGCAGTCCAGAAGAAGTTGAAGAAGGCTGAGACGATACCCACGGTGCGAAGCAGCTTGAGCTCTTCGTCGTTTCGGACCTTGAAAAGCTTACGGGTGAAGGCTTCTTCCCAGGCAAAGAGTTTGATCGACTTGATGTTGGTGAGGATCTCATTCATGAGACGCGTACGCTTGTCCTTGACTTTCATCTGTTTCTCGCTGAGTCGACGAAGATACCGGGCCAAAGCAGTGTTGAGCGGAACACTGATGACCATGATGGCCACACCGACGAACGATGGCCAGCCGAGAAGGTTGTAGAGCGACACGAAAGCCAAAGTCATCTGGAAGAGGGCTGACCAGGCAATGTGACCGTAAGTGCAGAGGTCCTGCAAACGGGTGGCATCAACGGACATGAGGTTGACAATGTCACCAGTGGCTCTGCCGCCGCGGTCCTCGTTGGATAGACGCAAACTCTTCTTGAAAATGGCGCTAACAAGACCAGCACGGACACGCATACCGGTGACGAAGACGAGCTGGAAGTACTGGTGCAAGAACGACGTCTGTGTCACAGCGATACAGAATAGGGCAGCAGAGAGGAGATAGCCCTGCATAGCGCTTTGGCTGGGGTCTTCACTGTTGTAGCTCTGTACGAACTGAAGCAGCTTGCGCAGAATCTGTGGCTGCACAAAGGCAAGTGTGTCCTGCGCCGACTTGAGCACGGCAGCAAAGAGGAAAGGGCCACCATACGAGTAAGCGAGAGTGGTCCAGAAAGCAGGCTTGCGAGTAGCCTTGTCCTTGGTCTGCTTCCAGTACTTGTCAAATCGTCTGCCGAGATTCTCTGCATCCTCGTTGGCGGGCAAGGACCACATGTCGTCTTCGGTAACAAACTTCTTAGCACCAAGCGTCATAAGGGGCTGCATCCAGTGGAAGGTGATGCGGCTAAAGATGTTGGCAGTGACCACAGGACACTCCTTGCCTGGGTCGACAGGGTCGTTGTTGTTGAGGGCGGTCGCCTCTTCGTCGCCATCACTGAAGACGCTGAATGCACTTCCGTTGGCATCGCTGGGCACAGTATGGTAGCCGTTTCTGTTGAGGCGAGTGGTAGCGGTGGAAGCACGCTTTTGATCAAGCTCGTCAATGGAACCGATTTCGACACCGACGCACTCGAGTGCAAATGCGACCAAGCCGAAAGCGAATCGAACGACAAAGGGCACAAAGGCGATGAGCTGTTTCTTGATTGGCAAAGAGGGCCAAGTGAGCGAAGTACGAAGCTTGACAACGCTAGCGAGAAGATGAGCGAGCCAGAAGAAGAGGAGAATATCCGAGCTGCGACGAGAGCGAGAGTGATTGAAGTGCTGAAGTGGAATGACTAGGAGGTAGCCTAGCGCGCCAACGACGGAAGACAAGAATAAGATCGACTCGCCTGGTTTAGCGAAGAGACCGTACGAGATGGATGCCTGGAAGCCAGCAGCAACAGCGAGGATGCCGACGACGACATGCTTGGCATACAGGATGGAGCGTGATGTCCGAGTCAACGGCCTGGCCTCTCTTCTTGACAACAGTGCCAAATGGATGCCGCCAAAGATGGCGAGGAGGAAGATGGGAGCCGTCCAAAATGCGGCTTCCTGGAAGCAAGGAGTGAAGTCGAGATCACGCTTTTGCGAGACAGGACCCCAACCTTCAACATTGTCGCAGAGATTTGCAAGTCTTGAGCGTTGTTGAAGTGTGTTGAATGTGGATGAGAAGAAGCCAAGTGGCAGAGTCAGCAATGGATCTGAGCCGACACCGTGGGATTGCAACGCAGCATCAAAGTTGCTCAAAGAGCCGAGCTCTTCTACCGGTGCCGAGTTGTCCATTGTCGCAATCGCGATCAGGGTGCGGCCCTTCCGACAAAATGTGACCTAAACGAGGACCCCTTCGGGCTGAGCCGCTTTCCCACGATTCGAGTCTATCCTATCGGCTCGGTCCTTCCGATACACAAGGCTGTCGAATACAGCTGGAGCGGCTGTTCAGAGCGTCGAGTCACGAGCCGAATCGGCGATGTTCCGAATGCTAGATGGCGCCTTGGTCTTGTTGCGCTGAAGCGTTTCGAGGCTGCTGAATCCGCCGAAGGGTTGCGATGCAAGACAAGGTGAAGACGGAAGATGATGTGATAGTATCGTCCTCTAGCGTGATGTCAAAGTGTAAGGGTGCTGCTATCAGGAAATGCTCTCCTCCACGCAAATGTTGGCAAGGCTCAAGGCTCAGTATTCTCAGAAGCTGCTCGTGCACATTTCCATTTTGTGGTTACCTTTCCGTTGTTCCTGACCTGACCTGAACAAGCTCAATTTTTCGCAGCCCACTGCCATTCACTCAGTCAGCACATCAGCAGACTGAGGTCACTCACTTTTCTGTCTCTTTCTTTTCTCTATTACCAGTACGCGTGCGGATGCAGCAACGGCAGCCCCTGCCAAGTGCTTTTCCTTTCTTTCTTTCTTTCTTTCTTTCTTTCTTTCTTTTTTTTTTCTTTCTTTAATTGAAGATATCGAGTTAATATACTCTGACTAGGGCCACAATCAGGCTCCTTTATCACAGGTATATGACTTCTTGAATGCTTATAATACTATAGACGAGTGCAGTCTTGAGAGCATATACAGCTCGTGCGTAAACTGTCCCACAATTTTAGATGTCACCACACATCACTCCAATGCTCAATAGCCATATGTCTGAATGCCACACTGTCTGATATCCTCTGAAAGCTCTGCTTCTTCTCTCCAAGACTGTGTAATTGATATTGACATTGCATGTGAAAATTGTGCTTCAAAAAAGAGCTGAGAATTTTTTTATTGTGGGATAGTTTATGGAGCATGCTGCCAAATAGCAACACCGCTCCATTCCTGACCTTGTGGACTTCTGACTACAGGTTGGTGAAAAAACCCAAGCTACTCAAGAGACACCACATAGCCTGTTGTAAATTTGCCAACAAGCACAAGGATATGACTGTTGAAGAATGGAAGAAGGTGGTATGGTTGCACAAGACAAAGGTCAACTTTTTCAGACCAGATGGTAAGCAGTTCTGTTGGATTAAGAACACCAGCTTCAACAGCAAGCTTGTCAAACCTACAGTCAAGTTTGGCAGTGGCTCCATCATGATCTGGGGCTGTATGATGTGGGAAGGGGTGGGAGGTATGCACTTGGTGCTGGGTATAATGGATTCAGACCAGTACATCAAAATATTGAAGGACAAGCTTGTGAAAACAATCTCAGATTTGTGCCTTCAGCAAGCATATACTGATATCACTTTTCAGCAAGACAATTGTCATGGGCCTGAGTGTGCAGGAAGCAGGAAGACCCACTAGTTCATATGAAGGGAGTGCAGGAATCAGGGGATCGGGCAGATCATAGGACTTGCAGCAGAATTTGCCAAGATCTGCAGTAGAATCAGCTCTATGACAGATCTCAGTGAGATCAGTACAAACAAGGATGATATCATGAATCCTGCTGAGATCAGTAGTAGGAGAGGTCATATAGTAGATTCTGTGGAGATCAGTGACAAGGATGTTCATATGATGAATTCACATGTGAAGAGGACCAAGCTCTGCCAAGACAGGGACCAAGCTCAGTAAATTGCAGCTGGTTACCACTCAGGGGTTCACAAGATAGGAGTCAAGAGAACAGTTGCCAGTTAAGAGGAAGGAGAGCTGTGTCACAGACACCAGCATGTAGTTCATGAGGAAGAAGAGCTGTGTTGAGGAGGTCAACACACAGCTCAAGAGGGACAGGAGTAGGGTTACAGGGACTCCTGCATAGCACTCGACAAAGAAGGTACTCTCTGAAGAGAGAGAGAGTTGGAGCAGTGGCGTGTCAGGGGTCTCGCGCCTGAAACCCAGGTCGGTCTGTCGAGATACTCGGTGACTATCAAACTGTGCGACAGCTATTGTCTCAGTATCAGTCTCAATGAGCTAGTTGCTCAGCGACTATCAAGTTGTGCAATGACAGCAGGTGATGTTCATTGTATATACTGTCATAGGTTTTGGCTGACCTCTGTGGACACTCCATTCAGGGGTAGCTTGGCACAATCAATATCAATGCATAGGTTATGATGACACCAAGGTCTGGTGTGAGTGTTGATGATGATGAGGTTGATGGTGTTGGTGATAAGGTTGGTGGCATGGGTGATAGGGTTGGTGGCATCAACATGAGTGTCCAGTGTGTTGACTGATGCTTGAGGTGATCCCCAGACTGCAGTGGACTACTGCCTTCGGTTCTATCTATATCCAGACTGCTGACCTGCTATGGGCTGCCTTTGGATGTCAGGTAGTGGTGATACAACACATGCACTACGATGAGGAGCAATCTTGATAGATTGCTGCTATGCTGACTGAAACTAAAATATACTTATGCTGAAGTGATAACTAGTTATGATGTGTGTAGAGTGGATGAGGATCCACTCGACCTTTGATGATGAGAAAGCATGGTTATATACCTCTTCACAGCATCACCAGCGACGCTGCTCCTGCTCTCTCTCCAGAGAGTACTGTCACAGGCCTAAGCTGCGCAGAGCGAGGGAAGGCCGAAATGATATGAAGGTAGTGCAGGAATCGTGGAATCGGGTAGATCGTAGGAGCTGCAACAGAGTTCACCGAGATCGGCAGTAGAATCAGCTCTATGGCAGATTGCAGCGAAATCGGCATGAGCATTGTCGATATCACGAATCCCACCAGAATCTGCAGCAAGCGAGATCATGTGGCAGATTCTGCAGAGATTGGTAGTAAGGAGGTCTGTATGACGATTCACACGTGAGAGGGACCGAGCTCAGTGACACACAGTTGGTTACCACTCAGGGGCCCACAGGACAGGAGTAAAAGAGAACTGTTGCTGGTCAAAGGAAGGAGAGCTGTGTAAAGGACACTGGCAAGAGGAACATGCAGAGGAGGAGCAGTGTCAATGAAGATGACACAGCTCAGGAAAGACAGGAGGGACAAAGCTTGATGTGGAGGAGGGGCCTCCTTGGGGATCCCTGTACTGTACTCAACGAAGAGGGTACTCTCTGGAGAGAGAGAGCAGGAGCAGTGTTGCTGGTGACGCTGCAAAGAGATATATAGTCATACTTTCTTGTCACAAGTGGTCGAGTGGACCCCCATCCACTCTACACTCACCATACAACTAGTCAATACTTTAGAAACCTAAGTACTCATTAGTTTTCAGTCAGCATAAGTTGCAATCAATAGATTGCTCCTCATCGAAGTGCATGTGTTGTACCACCATTTCCTGATGTCCAAAGGTGGTTCTAGCAAACCAGCGGACTGGATATAGATAGAACCTAAGGCAGTCATCCACTGTGGTCCAGGGATCACTTCAAGTGTTAGTTGACACACTGGACACTCATGTCAGTGTCAACAATCCATACTCACACCAGACCATTGGTGTCAATATCAAGTTCACTTAGAGTCATATTGTAGTTTGATCATGCCGAGCTACCTCTGGACAGAGTGTCCACAGCAGTTAGTCGAAATTTGTCATAACGATAATACAACTACAGATTCCACCGAGAAAGGTGACAGAGAAGGCTCTGTCGCATATTTCACTAGGAATCGAAATACCATTAGTGCTGTCACATAACTCGACAGAATCGGTGATAGTATCAATACTACCACAGATCTCAGGTTTCAGGCACGCGACCGCTGACAAGTACCTTCTTCATCGAGTACTGTTCAGGGGGCCTCTCCTGCTTGCTTGGCACCCCTGTGCCTCTTGAGCTGTGTCGACTCCTTCGACACTGCTCCTCCTCCTTGCTATCCTGCTTGTTTGGCACCCTTGTGCCTCCTGAGTGGTGTTGACTCCTTCGACACTGCTCCTCCTCCTCAGGACCTGGTGTCGGTTCTTTTGACTCTTGTCTCTCGAGCCCCTGAGTGGTAACCATCTGCATGCTCCTTGAGCTTGGTCCTCTTCGTGGCTGTGCCTGGCCCTCCTTGCATATGGGCTCAGTCCTCCTTTGCATGTGAGTCTGTAGGAGTCCATGGTCTCCATGGAGACTGCACTATGACCATGCTCTCTAATGGTATCGACTAGATCTTCGATACCTGTGCTCCTTCCATATGAACCAGTGACCCTCCTGCTTCTTGAGCATTCAGGCCCATGACATGGCGCAGGTGACACTGCAAAAGATGTATATAAGCATACCTTCTCGTCATAGGTGGATGAGTGGATCCTCATCCACTCTACACACACCATAACAACTAGTATTACTTCAAGCATAAGTATCATTAGTTTATAGTCAGTATAGTAGTAATCAATAGATTGCTCCTCATCGAAGCATGTGTGTTGTATCACCACTCCCTGACATCTGAAGGTGGTTCTTAGCAAACCAGCAGTCCAGATAAAGATAGAACTGAAGGCAGTTGTCCACTGTGGTCCAGGGATCACCTCAAGCATTAGTCAACACACTGGACACTTGTGTTGATGCCACCAAGTATCACACTCACACCAGATCTTTGGTGTCATCATCAAGTTCACCAACATCATATCGTTATTGATCATGCCAAGCTACCTCTGGATGGAGTGTCCAACAGTGGTCAGTCGAAATCTGTAATAGCATTATCACAATCACAGATTCGAGCGAGAAAAGTAATAGAGATGGCTCTACTGCATATCTCGTTAAGAATCGCAATACCACAAGTGCTGTCATATAACTCGACAGAATTGGTAATAGTATTGATACTACTACTGATCTCAGGTTTCAGGCATGTGACCTCTGACAACAATGACCCGAAACACACATCCAAGAAGACAACAACATGGTTGACAAGCAATATCATTAAGGTTATGGAATGGCCAGCACAGTCACCTGACTTAAACCCAATCAAACACCTCTGGCACCATCTCAAAATGCGACTTTCATGGTATAGTACAATTGCAATCCAGGGATGAACTGCTCAAGAGATGTGAGGCTAAATGGGCAGCAACCATTCCAGAGACATGTAGGAACCTAATAGAGAGTATGCCACACCACATAGAGGTGGTTCTGAAGGCAAAAGGAGGGAATACAAAGTACTAAGGTGTTGTAGAGGAGTGCTCCATAAACTGTCCCACAATAATAATAAAATTGGCTCTTTTTTGAAGCACAATTTTTGCATGCAATGTCAATATCAATTACACAGTCTTGGAGAGAAGAAGCAGAGCTTTCAGAGGATATCAGACAGTGTGGCATTCAGACATATGGCTATTGAGCATTGGAGTGATGTGTGGTGACATCTAAAATCGTGGGACAGTTTACATGCAAGCTGTATATACCTTAGTGTCTCCTCCTGAGCACACAATGCTGAGATGAGTTGCGCTCCTCCTGCAATGCCCCTGAGCCATTGCCACGGCAACCTTTCATATGTTTTCATATGCACACTGCCTATTTGCGACCTCACTCCATCAGTGTCTCAGGTAAACCTTCTAAGTCCGATTTGAATGCCAGCGAATCTTCAACTTCTTTCTTTCTTTCCTTTTTTTCTAGTTAAAGATATACAAGTCCTGTATGCTAGTTTGGGCTACTAACAAGCTCCTAACACAGGTGTATGTTCTTCTTGTAAAAAATGCTATATATTCAATCTGTGTACTACTGTGTATATGAGCATATATATACTTGATGATCACCTCCAACACTTATCAATCCATGATGAGTCACTATTCATTGTTGCCCCTGAGTTGCAATCTCCTGTGTGTCACTATGACAATGTGTATGCATCCCACATGCATTGCCACCTATATGCAGCTTTTCTTCATCGAGGATTCGCTTATGTTCCATGGACCCTGTGTTGTTCCGTGGACCCCGCGAAACCCGTGAAGATGCCGACGCATCTTCAACTTTTCTTCTTCCTTTTTCCGGCCCTCGCTTGTGTTGAAGTGTTAAGATCTGATCGGCGATGCACCGGTCAAATACCTCTCACGTAACGCATCCTCTCTCTCTTTCGACCCTGATTTGGCAGACAAAAGCAACGATCGCGCCCGCGGACCTTGTTGTGTTCGCCCGATGGATAGCCGGAGATAGCAAGAATGGACTGCAGAACACGCAGCAGACTTCGCATCTATGTCTTTCAACCAGAAGACACAACAATCAGATCTCAACCCAAACACAATCACGTCTCATACAACAACGAACAGACCGCACAAAGCGAAAGGAAGATCTAATGTCCATGAGATTGCAGTTTTGCGGCTAACGCTGCCGTTCGTATACGCGGCGCAAAGAGGAAGAACAAAAATTGGAGAAAAGAGGGCGGATGATGCTGCGAAATAGTTGTTTGTACAAGTTGATAAGTCATAAACGACGGCCCAGCTCAATCAACAGGGTCAAGTTCTGGCAGAACAACGAGCAATGAAGAGCGAAAGGGAGACACAGAGAGAGAGAGGAGAGAAGAGCGACTTGGCTCAGATGTGGTAAAAGGTATCGAGATCCAAATGTGTGTGTCTGTGTGTGAGCGGGAAGAAGGCAATGCATCTCCTGTGCAACCAATTGTTCGAGAGTATGTTATTTGTGAGGCTTCGACACTGAAAAGACTGAACGTCAAGCCCCTCAGTCGAAGCTCGGTGGAACTGCACCGGGAGGAAGATTGTTGATTCTAGGGCCAGCTCCCGGTCCAGCTGTTGGTGAAGCTGCCGAGTTAGGCATGTTCGAAGTGCGTCGGGCACCCCTCTGGACCTGTCGTACACCTTGTGCGCTTGCAACCGGTCCATCATCTACAAGACTGAAGCCTCTGGTTGCTGATCGGCTCTGCGGTGACATCGAGGCATCTGTCTCTGGCTCCGCTGTGTATGCCTGCATGGGGTAAGCTGACTCGCTCACCGTTGGGTAACGCTGCTCTGTCGAGACGCTGCCGTGTCGTACTGCTACGTCCGCACCAACTAAGCGACGAGGCTCCGGATCAGGCGAGCTCGAAGCGGATCCGATCATCGGTCGCTTCTCCTCGTCCGTGATGTCTGTGTGCGGGTAAGCCTCGTAGCCACCAGCGCCTGGTGGTGCGGGCAAACGGTTGGAATGCTGCTGAGCCGGTGAGAAGGTGTTGATATTGCCAAGCGCAGGGTGCGTCGAGTTGTGCGGCAATGTCGAAGGCGAGGTGGCGCGAGGTCGTGGCACAACTACAGTGCCAGGTGGAGAAGCCCCGCTCCGCTGCTTAGCGTCTGTGGCCAAAGGTGCTGGTAGCTCAAGCAGAGGTACCGAGTCGAGTCGCGCACGAGCTCCAGATGCGCTCTTGGTGTGCGACGTCTCCGAGGGATCGGGACCGTAGTGCGAGGCACTTGAGGAAACGGCGGCGTTGGGCAAGGCGCGTCCGAACTGGTCGTGCTGACCCGAGGGGTTCGAGTGGAAAGTGTCAGAGGAGACGACCGAGTAGCGTGTGCTGCCAGACCTTTCGGGCGAGCCAGCGCGATGTACCACGTCGTACGTCGAGTCGCGCGAGTGTGTTCCTGATTTCCAACGACGCTCGCGCTCGAACTCGGCCCATCGCTTCATAACAATATGCGAAGGATCAAACTTGCCATCGGCATCACCGTGGTTCTCCTTCTTGTTCTCACCCTGCACCATACGTGTGGCACCCCAGGAGAAGTCGTCCATGTGCCAGTACGCGTACATAGGGAGCACAAAGTTCCAAATCGGCAACGAGATAAGGTAGATCAGCATCCAGCCTACGTAGGCAATCTTGCGCGACGTCACCACAATGAGGATAGCTGGCAGACCCAAGATGAGGGCGAGCAAGATCAGCGGAATGGTCGGTGTAGGCACGTTGGGCAGGAAGGCTTGGACCACGACGTAGAGCGTGAAGGCAATAGCAGCAGGAAGCACGAGAGTACCGGTGAGTTCCATGAAGACGACGAAACGCATCGAGAAGCAGAAGGTACCGCAAAGATCGTTGACCTTGACCAACTCGAACAGATTGTGGACCGTCGAGTTGATCCATCGTCGACGCTGTGACAGCAGAATGCGAAACGTGTCTGGCACGATGGTCTTGCAGACGGCCTGGGGCACGAACATCATCTTTCGCTTGGGGAAGGTCTTGAGCATGAGCGTGGTCAGGTATCGGTCCTCTCCGAGCAAGAGCAAGTTCTTCTTGTGCAGCGTGTCGACAACGTTTTCCGAGTAGTGCTCGACGATATCCGGGTTGGCCAAAATAGGGACCCAGTAGCCGTGAGGACCCTTGGGCGCCTTGATTCGGTAAGCACTGAAACAACCGGGCAAACAGGTGACACCTCCGAAGCAGGCCTCGAAGGCCTTGGTCTGATGGTGGGAGATGTAGTATTCGAACACCTGGATCATGGTCACCCAGGTCTCAGACTTGTTGGCAATCTTGGTCTCACCGCAAAGACCCATGATCTCGGGGTCTTCCACCATGCAAGCTACCATGCGCGAGAGCGAGTCGGGGAACACCTTGGTATCGGCATCGACACAAAGCACCACTTCGTAGTTGTCCGGGGAGACGCCAGTGACGCGCCAGATGCTGTTGAAGAACTCGTACTCGAACGAAGTCATGCGCTCGTCGAACATGACCTTCTGCATAAAGGCCATGAGGAGCACTTGCGAGTCACGCTTACCACGGTTACCGGGCTTGGCACTGTCAGCTTCGAGAGGAGTTCCGCACTTGGCTACCAGGATCATGGGTACACGCTGCTGCTTGGATCGCTCAACCGTCTCGTCGTCATAGTCGTAGAACCCGGCGTAGATCTTGCACATGTTGTGTCGCTTGTAACCGTCGGCGATGGCAACGTACGAGTTGCCCTCGACTTCCTCTGCGGGGATGACGAGATCCTTCATCATGGAAAGGCAGATATCAGGAGTCGAGATATCGGAGCCAGCACCCTTGACGATACCGTCAGCAATGACGAGCAAGAGCTTGTGACTGTTGGGGTAGTCGGTGGTGGCGAGACTGTCAAGGGTTGTCCGCAGACCTTCGAAGGATTCAGAGTAAGCAGTGACAAGGCAAATCGAGTGAGCAAGCTGGAAGCCGAAGGGTCGGTAGTCTGGGCCAGGTTGAGCAACGATGTTGTGCAACGGGAAGGGGCAAGCACCCATAGCGCCTTCGCTTGGGCTACCAGAGAAGGAAGAGCGTCGCGAGTGGTTGGGTGCCAACGATGCCGAGCTGCGGCCACCGGCAACCGAGGGAGAACCAGGAGGAGATCCACCGAGAGGTGAAACGACGCCGAGACGACCACCACGGGTCATGCGCTTCTCGTTGAGAGGCATGGGAGCACGAGAGCCGCTCTTGAGGCTGAGAGGATCAGCGACCGAGAATCGACTCTGTGTGGGGAGGAAGGACTTATGCTTGCGAGCGTTGGGTCGGTAACCGGCAGGAGCAGGACGGTAGATGTCGTCGGACCACTGCTCAATCTCGGCGGCACGCTTCATACGCTGCTCGTAGGTCTCGTTGGCGTAGTTGCCAAGACGCCAGGAGATGAACCAACCGAACATGACAGCCATGAAGAACTTGATGGCAACGACGCCGATAATGAAGACCAGCGAGAGATAGAGCTCGACCTTGGAGGCAACACAGCCGATGGTCTCGGAGTCGATGAAGCCGACGCGAGCGATCTGCTCGAGACACTGGAACTCGTTGTCAAGACGCTGTCGCATGACAGCCGAAGTCACATCGCGACCTGCCCAAGTGTCGTCGCGGCGCTTGAGGGTGTCAAACAAGGGAGGATAGGCGAGAGTGTTGGTGAGGTTGTTGAGTCGGTTGAGGTCGAGGACCGAGCCACGGTAGACGGCCAAGTTGCGTGAAGTGTCGGTGATGTTGTTCCAATTGAGTGAGACCTGACCTCGTTTCTTGAGAACAGAGTTCCTGGGTTGCGCACCATTGTTGAACTGATCGACGATGGCACCGGTGTGACACATGCGTTCGGTATTGTTGGCGTATCCTCCACGACCGTCTTGGCTCACCAGCGTGCAGTCAAAGTATTGCTCAGGCTGTCCACCTCCTACACGGTTCGAGATGATGTTGGTGCAGGCAGCTCCGACCTTCTGGAAGAGCAAGCTGCCATCCTGTCCACCAGAAGACCAGGGCTCCGAGTAGATGGGGTTGGTGCGGTTGTAGATGGTGTTGGCGCCAAAGGGTCCAACCTGGGGGTGAAAGAAGCCGTCAAAGTTATAGTCGTAACCGTTGAATGTCATGGAGCCGACGTCGATGGTTCCAAGCGTGTAGCGGTCGGGGGGAGTGCCACAGACGGTCTGAGTGAAACCGAAAGTGAGGAAACCGACGGCAGCCATGATCAAGGCGATGATGCCGATGAGACCCATCTTCTCACGCCAGGCACGCTGCTGCTCTGGAGTGCGGATGCCAAAGAGGCGAAGGAAAGGACCAGGGCAGCAGATGGTGAGGATGTAGCAGTAGATCATCCAGCCTCCAACCGGGCCAGGAGCGATGCGGGAGGTCTTGCTTTCACCCAGATCACGGGGCACCTCTTTGGTCACTCGACCAGATTTGGACTGCTTGCGACGCAGCGAGACACCGCGCTTGAGCACGTTGATGCCGGTCTCAATCTGGTCCTCGTCTCTGCCAAGAATCGATTTGCCGCGACGCAGAGGAGGAGCGCGTCCAAGACCTCCAGGAGGAATGTTAGAGGGCCCTGTCACACCAAGACCGCTGAGACCTCCGCCAGGTCCGACGACGCCAGCTATGCCGGAGCCATGCGGGGCCGCACCGTGCTGAGGGAGATGACCAGTAGTGGAAGGCATGTAGCCGACACGACCGCCGTTAGCCGCCATAACATCCATGTGGGCAGCATGATTGCGGTAGTACCACTGACGATGGTTAGGGTCCATGCGTTCACGATCGGGGCGAACGAGCGACTTTTTGCGACGAAAGTTGGCATTTTGAGCCGAGAAGCCTGATTCTGGATCGAGGGTGTTGACCTGGTTCAAGGCAGTCGAGCTGCTGTTAGGATCGAGCAAGTTGCGCTTGTCGTCACCATAGGACTTGACAGACTCGCGCGAAGGAGCTGAACGCTGAGCTGGGATGCGTTGAGGCTCTTGGAACGAGATACCGGCAGGGCGCTGCGGAGGTTGCGAAGGCTGATTGAGGTAAGCCTGACGGCTGCCTCCCGGTCCCATGTTGGATGGTGGTGGAGACATGGCAGTAGCGGCAGGAGGAGAGAAGAAGGGCTGTTGCGAGCGAGGCGGTTGGTATTGTCGTTGTTGTTGTTGTTGTTGTTGTTGTTGTTGTTGTTGTTGTTGGTGGTGGTGGTGGTGTTGTTGCTGTTGGTGTTGGTGTATTTGTTGAGGCGATGGTTGTTGTGGGTGATAGCCAGGCAATTGTTGTTGTTGATGGCGTTGTAGAGGTGAAAAGACAGGATGCTGAGGACGGGGGCCGCCGTCGCCGCCGCCAGGAATGCTGAGAGGAGGAAGTGGTGGTGGACCATCAGCACGATTGGGCCGTGGCTGTTGGCCTGGACGGCCTCCGTCAGAAGGAGACTCGAAAGGGTTCATTTTGACGGTATGGAGAGTGGTGAACTGACCGAGACCTTTTCCACACGATTGTCCTGCCAGACTGGGTGTGGTAGCGAAGCGAAGCAAGACTCTAGGATCGGAGGTTTGAGCTGATGCGGAAGGGAGAAGAGACAAGGCGTCTAGAGAGTCGATCCAGCCATGGAGTTGTTGGCGAAGGATGAAGCAGGAGAGTCGTGTCTGTATAGTCTATATTCTAGCGGTAAGCCATGAGCTGTGGATGGGATAGCGATGGATGATTGCTAAAGTTTAATCTAAGCTGATCCAAAAGCTGCGCAGCGTGTTCGGGGTTGCGCTCAAGGCGGGTCGGCTTGTGATACGGATGATGATGACGAAGACGAGGATTCGGCCAAAGCGAGCAGCCGTTAGCGACCTGAGAATTGAAGGTGATGACCAGGATAAGGTCGGCGGAAGGAGGATGATGTTGTCAAGAAGGTGAGATGGGTCGAGCGGCAAGCTTGGCAACGGAGAGTGTGTGTGTTAGGAGAAAGGTGAATCGGAGACAAAGAGGAACAACCCACATGCAAAACAACGCCAAAATACAAAGCAAGATCGCGGCAGCAGCAGACAGCGATGAACAAAGAGCGCCGAGCGTGCCATCAAAAGGCGCTTGCACGCTTGAACCATTTAGGGGCCAAATTTGGTCAACCAGAAGCACACGTCAGCAGCAGGAACAAAAAGAAAAAAAAAGAAAGAAAAAAAAAAAGAAAAAAAAAAAGGAAAAGGAAAAGGAAAAGGAAAAGGAAATTCCGAATTTCTAGCCGTTCAAAGCTACACACACACACAGTGAACACGGAAAGAGGGACAGTCCCGCTGTCAAACACAATTGCTTTCATTTGGCAGCAGAAGCAGCAGGAGTAGCGTTAGCATCAATCAACGATGAGAAACACAAATGGATGGAAGGACGGCGCGGAAAGGGGTTGCCGGGCCCCTCTCTTTGGATGGAAAGCGAATCACAGGGCAGCAGCGATGATGAAGGATGGTGGGAGTCGATTGCAGCTGGCTTTCTCTATTGTGGTGTCAAAACAAGCAGCAGCCTTGGCCTGTGTTGAATTTTGCTACTGCTGCTACTGCTGCTGCTGCTGCTGCTGCTGCTGTTGCTGTCCGTCAGCGTTGATCGTGAATTTTGTCTCGCATCTCTGTCTGGCGTTGAGGAAAAGGGGCAGTCCCTCGAGAGCATTTTTTTTTGAAGCTGCAGACGAGCAAACGCAGAAGCAGGCAACAGTGGGGCCACATTGGTCAACAACGAAAATCCCCCGAAATTCAATACCCCTTCAAACAGGCAGCAGGCAGCAGGAAGCGAAAGTGAAGAGAGAGAGGAGCCGCACTTGAAATGGGATGCAAGAGCGTCGTTGTGTTGATCTCTATTCTCGCTTCGCAGAATCATTGATTTGAGAGGCAGTGCTCTGCTATGCTGTTGCTGTTGCTCTGCCGAAGTCGCGCGTGTGGAAGTGGCTTTTTATTATTATTATTATTTTTGATTTTTATTTATTTATTGATTTTGCTGTGATGATGTGACTCCCAAACGATTCGGCCAAGGAAGGGAAAGGGTTAAATCGCTGCCGCACAAGAATTCTTTTAAATAGAAATTGCCCTTGCCCAAAATTGAATTGAACCTTTCCGATACTCTTTAAATGATTGATGCAACTGTGTCCAAAATCTGTAATTCGATTCGCGATTCCCACAGCGAAACTTTGCCTCTGTCCGTCGATCTTTCCCTTTGTGTGCCAAAAATTGATTTGAAAAAATGTCTCGGATTTTCACAGCCGTTGTGCTGGATTTGCCCCTGTTATGGATGGCTTCCACATCCTCTTCTTGGCTTACATCGTCCGAATTCGACTGCCTGATAGTTGTTTTTTGCCAACGAGCTGGGGATGAACGGTACTGCTGCTTTGATCGTCTTCTGACAATGATTCTGCTGTAAGATTTCTCCAAGAATGCTTCTTTTGCCTCGAGGAGAGGTGATCGTGATCTTTATGTAGAGCAAAGGTCGAAGCTGCAGATGGCAGGCATAATGCACGTTGTGTGGCTGGATTGATCAGCATGGAATTGCCGGTGCTTGTTGGCTGGCGGGCTGCTGTGATACGTACAGCGTCTCACACCGCGCGTTACTGTGCATGCAGGGATCGGCCTGCCTGCTTTTCGCTCTCTTTCGTTTTGCTTTGCTTGTATAAAAAAAAAGAAAAAAGAAACAAAAAAAAAAAAAAAAAAAAGGTGCATAAAGTTGCATGCACTCAACCTCGCAATCAAAAGAAGAGCCGAACGAAGGCGGTGTCGTCAGTCCGCGTCTCCGTTAGTATTCGCCTCGGCCTTCTCACCTCACCTCGCCTTTTCCCGCCTAGAGCAACGGTTCGAGTTAATCGATGCCAAAGCTCTCAACTTCACCACGCACAGGCGATACCCTAGCAACAGTCATAGTCTGTCCTTGACGCGACGGTCGGCGATGCTTCGCGATCAAGCTGCACCTCATGCTGCAGTCGTCTGTCACCTATCACAAGATAGCATCCCGGACATCCAATGTTTATTGTAGCTTTCTTCTCGTTCCGTCTCAGACTTGATCGCAAGCTACAGTTACTGTACTGCCAAGAAGCTTGAGCCACGTCGATCTCTGCTTTGTTGCAGGAATCCGTTCATGCTACAACAGGTTTCAGGCATAGCGGTGAGGAAGCAAGCAAGAACAGGGTGGAAGTGTCTTCCATGAAGCCAATCGCAAGTCAATCTGTCTCGTGTCTGCGTAGTTCATCACGTGAACTGACTCGTTGCTATCTCATCGACCAGCAACGCCGTTCTTTCGGCGCCGTTTTGAGTTCTGCCTCAGTTTGTCAAATTGTGCTCCGATACCACTGACACCGTGAGTTGACCGACGTGATGATGACCGTCAGCGCAGCCTTCACGCCTCGTGCAAATGGCGCACTTCGGATTACATGAGCGCTGCAGTATCGGAAAGCGGCTGGATAGCTTCTGTTTCATGTCATATGTCGGTGGCTCTCATTTGGCATGGCGGTGGGCCAAAGTCAAAGTCGGATCGGAACATCTCTCACAAACATCAGCATCCGATACAGTCTGCCGCTCCCCGATCAGAGCTGTTTCTCAGAACTTCATGACAGGTCTGCTCTCCTAGACTGAGAAGATGTTATAATACTTTTGGTTCATTTCTTGTACAGTAGTGGTGTTTGCCCATCCTCTTAACGCGAAAGATGGTAGTCGTCGATCCTCAGCAACAGCGAAACAGTCTCGGTAGCAAGCTCGATGGCGCTTGTATTGACGAGCAACGGCTGCAAAACGTTCTCCTCCAAGATGTTGGTGATCTGACCCTTGCGAACGTTGATACCAGCCGTCCTCTCGCCCAAAGCGTGACGGTTGCGCAACTCAGTGACAATGCTGATCGGGTTGAGACCCGCGTTCTCTGCCAACGTAGTAGGGATCACCTCGAGCGCCTCTGCGTATGCCTGGAAGCAGTAGGCCTCCATACCCTTGAGTGTCTGCGAGTACTGCGATAGCAAACGCGAAACATGCACCTCGGGTGCACCTCCACCGGCGATCAATGCCTTCTTCTTGACAAGGCAGCGAACCACACACAATGCATCGTGCAAACTACGTTCGCTCTCCTCCAGAACGAGCGAGTTGGCGCCAGTGCAAAGAATGCTGACCGTTCTACCCATGTTCTTGATGCCGGTGATCTTGACGACACGAGCACCGTTCTGCTGCACTTCGTCAATCAGGTCAGCAGAAGCAAGCTTGTCCTCGGTGAAAGCTTCGATATCCGCAATAGGCTTCGCACCGAGCGTTTTGGACACAAACTCGATCTCGTCTCGCTCGACATCCTTGACGACGAGAATCTTGAGTTTGGCGAGGAAGTGAAGAGCAAGCTCGTTGACGGCATCGCGAAGGATCGACTTTTGGATGAGGAGAACGTTGCAGCCAGTCTTCTTGATCTTCTTGCACATGTTGAGCAAGTATTGACGCTCCTCCTTCAGAATCTTGTCCATCTGGCGGTAATCGTTGACGACAATCTGGTTGTCCATGTCTGGCTTGGGGCTGCTCAACTGGAACTGGCACACAGCAATCTTGGCCTTCTCCATGCGTGTGGGACCTCCGCTTCCCGAGACGACGTTCTGTGCCAACACGAGTCCCTCTACGAGCTCAGTGTCATCGATCGTACCGCCGACCTTCTTGACAATGCGTATGTCTCGCAGATCGACGTTGTCCTGTGCATCTTTGTTGCGCGAGGAACGAACAGGAGCTGTACCTTCAGCGGTGGACGAGGCGGAAGACGAAGCGCCTGGTGTAGCGAGCTTGGCCGAAGTGACGGGTGGAGCAGGGATGACGAGACGAGTGACGGCGTCGACGGCGATAGGTGCGAGGACGGACGAGTACTGGGAGACAATCTTGGAATTGAGCGAGGTGCTGGCAGCGCGGAGGAGCGACTCGCGATCGTTGAGCTCGACGGGGGTCGAAATATCGGTGAGGAACTCAACCGCCTTAGCAGCAGCCTTCTGAAACGACTCGGCGATGATGGTGGGATGGAGACCCTTGTTGAGCATCTTTTCGGCTGCACCGAGCAAACTGCCTGCAATGACGACAACCGAGGTAGTACCGTCACCAGCCTCGACATCCTGCGCTTGCGAAAGCTCGACAAGCATTCTAGCAGCTGGGTGCATGACAGCCATGTGTTTGAGGATGGTGGCACCGTCGTTAGTAATGACAACTTCGCCGTTGGAAGTCTGGATCATCTTGTCCATTCCTTTGGGTCCAAGCGAGGTGCGGACGGCATCACTGACCGCCTTTGCTGCGGAAAGGTTAGATCTCCTGACCTCGTCTGGCTTGTCGACATTCTTAAAGGCATTTTGCGAGGGACCGCTTCGTACGGCGGGGGCGGGTGCTGCTGCCGACATTGTGTGCTATGTGAAGGTGCGAAATCGAGTGACGGAGGCGATGCGAGAACGAAGAAGGGCCTGCTCCGAGCTATGATCGAAAGCTTTCAGCTGTGACTCGATCTATGTCCTACGTGCGATTGCCGCTGGCGATGTCGTGTCGTTCCAGGTCAGCTGAGCTTTGACGCAATAAATGATGGTGGTGATGAAGAGATGGAGGAAGCTAATAGCAGCTGCGGACAGATAGCTTGCGGTGCAGTAAAATACCAAAAAAAAAAAAAAAAAAAAAAAGGTCCAACACGAGATCGGTCGTCCTCGACTGAGCTGGCTTGAGCTTTGTTCTCGAACGCGCCGCACACAGACACACAACAGTGCACACACGCTTTCCTGTCTGTTGGTTGCAGAAGAATCGAAAAGAAGGAAAAGCACAAGAAGACAGAGCGCGTCCGAGAAGACTGTTCAGTTTGCAGGATGACTAAGGATCACAAAGGCTCAATATTCTCGAGCTGGACCCTTTCAGCTCTCAGGACAGAGCAAGGCCATGCTGCCGCACTGCCCGATATAGGCTGAGCAGCGCTAAAAACGTGACTGACGTGCGCCTCCACTTCCACAACGCATCAGTGTGACTCTCGCACTTCCAAGCTGAGTTCTTCACTCAACACACCCATCATCTGACCCCTCTCCGTCTTTACAATCACCGCCTTTCCGCTTTGTGAACATTGGCTTGTCCAACATATACAAAGTTCAAGCTCACACCTTTCGTAGCGCCCATCCTCTGGCTCGCGTAGTCGTCAGGGAAGCGATCACGAATCCTCGTTATCAAGCCTGACCTCCTTTCAGGAAGCGATAGGATCCTTAGACGTCCAGGCTCCGCACGTCAAGTAAGACACATAAGCAAACACAGGTAGCCCCTCTTGATCCATCTCCCCAGTTGGCACAGCCTCGCCGAAGCGCTGCGAACCTCCTTCTACTCGGCTTCTCGTAGAAAGAATCGGGCTGGTTAGCCACGTCGAGCACTCAAGATGTCAATGTTCGGAGGCATTGATGGCGGTTTCGCCGGTCTGAATCACTTCATGCAGAATGGTGTGGATCCAAGGTTCCCAAGGCCACCACGAGCCTACGATGAATACTTCAAAGCATACAGCATGGCCATGTTGCCCAGCAAAGAACGTCTCAATGTCAGCTATGGAGGCAAGATCATCATGCCGCCATCCGCTCTAGCACACCTTACCAACCTCGAGATCGAGTCACCGTGGTTCTTCGAGCTCCGCAGCGCAGGCGTCTCAGAGGTGCGCCGAACACATGCTGGTGTGCTCGAGTTCATTGCGGACGAAGGCAATGTCCATCTCCCTGCTTGGATGATGCGCACGCTCGGACTCTCGGAAGGTGACCCCATCCGCTTGACGGGTACCACACTACCAAAAGGCAAGATGGTCAAGATCCAGCCACAGACGGTCGACTTTCTCGAGATCAGCGATCCAAAAGCTGTGCTCGAACAAGCTTTTCGCAACTTCTCCTCACTGACACCTGGCGACATTGTCGAGATCAGCTACAATTGCTTGACTTTCGAGATCCTCATCATGGAGATCACACCCAATGCCGATGGTATCTCCATCATCGAGACCGATCTTGAGGTCGACTTCGCTCCGCCAAAAGGCTACGTCGAGCCAACCCCACAGCCACGCCCGCCACCGCCGACCATGGCCTCCAAACTTAACATCGACAACTCGCGCGTCGACTCAATTCCACCAACACGAACTTCGACACCGGGTTCGCTCGCAGGTACAAGTGCAGCAGGTGGATCTGGTGTTGCAACACCGTCCGGTCCCTTCCGTGGTTCCGGCCAGACCTTGAGTGGCAGGAAGAGCAAAGGAAAGAAGGAGAGGCAAATCGAGCAGCTTGACCCTTTCAGTATGGTCCGACGCACCGATATGCCACGCATCATCACCAACGACACGCAGCTTACAGAAAAGAAGATTCCAGCTGCGCTCAATCTGCCTTTTGGCAAGCTCTTCTTCGGCTACGAAGTGATCCCAGTTGGTGGCAAACTGAATGAAGACGCCAAGGAGAAATTAACAGAGACATTTGGAGGTTCAGGTACCACTCTTTCGGGTCGAGCGCCGCGCACAAAGGCACAGGAAACAAAGCCTGACAAGCCGAATAGCGAAACACCGTCTGCCTTCACACTGGGCGGAGGTCGAGTCTTGGGTGAGAGCTCACGAAGCAGCCGCTATGCAACACCGTCAAGCTCGGATGAGCACAGTCTCAATGACTTGAAGCGCGATGTCATCGAGATCGATTCTGATTGACGACTCACCTGCATCACAGTCTGCCGTCTATCCTCGTGACGGCGTCGATGTCTTGCTGTCACGCATGAGCTTGTCACAAAAGACGGTCTCAGATCTGCACACTCCTACGCATTAGACAGAGCACACGAGTCATCGTTCTTGCTTGCAAGTTGTTCTGCTTCCCAGCGACGTGATGGCTTGCCCGCACGCCCAATATCTCGACCAGTCTCCCGCAGCTTTGTACTCTGACCATGCCACCGCAAATCGATTGCAATGCAACTTCCATCTCATTCAGTCACCAAGCATCGACTCCTTTTTCATGGCCTTGACATCGTCTTTGTGTACGTGTAACGTTCCAGATTGCTCGGACGGTCTTGCTGCAGGACCGTTCTCTTGCCTGGAGGACCCAGCTGGTGTGAGCCACGAGTTTGGTGGAGCATAATGTGGACGCTGAGTCTCAGTCTTTATCAGTGGCTGAACAGAGCGAGAGCGCGGAGCGTTCGGCTGCATGCTTCTGCCTGCTGCGACTGAGCGTTTATACATCGGTGAGCCTTGAGACGGATGCTGCTGATGATGAGTTCGTGCAGGGCCTGCCATGTTTCTTGCCGAGACTGGATCCACGCGTGTCGGTGTCGGTCGGACAAGTGGTACCGCAGGTTGGTGTTTGTATCGTTCTGATCAATGTGCCGCAATGGGAATCCGAGGCCGCGCGAAATGTCGCAAGTCAGTTTGTGTACGCGCCACAACGAGCGATCAGGCAATCTATCATTGAAAGCCCGTCTTTCCCTGCAAAAGAACTCACCTGGATTTGCGGACGTCCATTCGTGCATCTTTGGAACCTTTTCCCGAAATGGTTGGGGAGGCAGCTGAAACGCAAAGGGGCATGAAGAGCTCGTTGATGGACGAGATGGTACACTGTATGACCACATCGTATTCAGGTCAGCTCTGGGCACTTCAAGGACGGATAGAATTGCATTTGAGCGGCACAACGTTGGAGCTTTCGCCTAGCTTACTTTGGCATCTGTATTCCTCGGTCAGTCAAGCCCTCGTTGGGGTACGCTTGCGTGCTCGACACGTGCGCCGGCTGATGTTGACGTCGATTCATGTCCTCCTGCCTGAGAGCGAATTGTTGTAAAGGCTGCACAAATGTTCCTGTTCTGTCTGAGATGTAGCCAGTGCTTCTTTGTGAATTCCTGTCGACAGTCGGAGAGACGACCGAAGAAAAAAAGTTGCAGAGAGAGAGAGAGCGATGTATTGTGAGATAGATGCTCGCGGACTTCATCCGCAAAGCGGAAAAGTCGAGCGGGACACTCACATCTGCTGGTTGACATCGTGAGTGCCGGAGTTGGAAGACATGTGTCTTTGCAATGCAGCAAGCCTCTCCTTCAAAGCGCGGTTTTCTGTCCTGACCTCATCAAGCTCTCTGTATCAGACGTACAAGTATCAATAGTGCTTGTTAGCGGCAGCCTGCTTTGCGGATGCGAGGATCATGGGTCTCCACTCACCGTTCGTTCCTGCGAAGGTATGCCAGCTCGGCACTGACGGACTCAAGCACCTTCTTATGCTTGGCCGTCTTCTCCTTCAAGAAGCTGCAGGGCCGCAGGAAGGCGTTGATCGACGGAAAAGTGTCGTCAGTGCGTCGAAGATGAACATGATTCTACAATGTGTTACTGCATCTGTGCGTGGTCGGCACACTGAGCGAGCACAGGTACGATCATTGACTTACGTGATTAGATCCGACATATGCTTGAACTGAAATTGGAAAAGCTGTCAGTCTTTTGTCATGTATACATGGCGACGACAGGAGGAGGGCGCTCTGTTGCTGAAGTCGGCGGAGAATGGCTTACTTGGAACTGTATCCCGAAAGAGAAGAAAGTAAAAATGGCCGGAGTTAAGGAGACGGTGCAAGACTATTGCCAATGACAACGGAGTGTTACTGGAATAGGGCGACGAACCTGGTATGCAGACATTAGCTCGTTCGTGGATACCTCAAAGGGCTGCAAGAAGCGCCGTACCGCATGCGGCACCTGTAAGATGCGCAACAATATTGGCACGTCTAAAAGATCAGTATCGAACCAGCATACGTCAAGTGGCGATATGAAAACATGGAATCTTACGTGACCGTCAACCAGTCTCAACATGCGAACAGGTTGTGCGCAAGTTGGACATATTGCCTGAATTTCGTTGGATGTCGGATCAATGCCGACTTTTTTGAAGCACATGGCAAGCAACATGATCGAGAGCGCAAATCAGTTTGAAAAGATTCCGTTGGCTCTGACAGGTGTGAGGATTGTTACATCATGTAGCCTTTGGAGAAAGAATTAGGACTTACCATCGAGCTCTCTTTGGCAGAGTACATGCTCGCACTGATCAATGATCGTTGCGACAATGATACGCCAGGGGGACCAAGGTGAGAAGTAGACTGTCAGCCTCTCGTGGTGTTTTGGTTTGTGTAAGACCCGACATTGACTAACCTCGGCCATCCAGAATGCAATCGAGGCGCCATTTTGCGCTTCGTCGAACGCAAAGGCCTCATTGGAGCTGGTGACGAAGCTGCGATAGCAGACGGAGCAGTGAACATGATCGAGGAAGTTAGGCGAGCTGTCCGAGCAAACAGAGTCCATCGTGGGTAACGGATGTGGCAGCGCGAAACAAGGATGGATGCTGGTGGTAGTAATGCTCGAATGCATGATGCTATCGCCACCAAAAGCAACAGCGGGAGCCAGCATCATGTGTCCGCTCCCAACGCCTTTCGCAGAAATGCTCGCACAGTCTCACAGCATGCTCAGCACATACAATACGACACAGCGCAGTCACAGCTCGTGTGGGCGCAGCCATCCAACCGTTTTAGGAGATCACGGTGATTGCGACTATGTTATCAGCATCGAAAATGGCTGCTCGGCAAGTCCGACACAGGGACGTTGCTCTGATCGAAGTTGCGCCCGCTAATCCAAGAGAAGTCATCGGAACGTCGCCGACGAAAGTGCGCTGCTGGACCGTGAAATATGGTTCCATTTCACAATTTTTTTTCTACTCGTTTTTGGCTTCCCAGCCAACAGCCGTTTTCTTTTTCTTTTTCTTTTTCTTTTTCTTTTTCTTTTTCTTTTTCTTTTTCTTTTTTTTCTTTTTTTCTTTTTTTCTTTTTTTCTTTTTTTCTTTTTTTTTTCTTCTTTTTTTTTTCCCCTCCCAATGATGGCTCTTCTCCTTTGCTGAGCAGCATACTCACGATAAAGTTCGGTACTGTAGCTCTCCGTCCGTTGTCCACTGAATGACATCTCGCATCTTCCGCACAGTCCCCAAGCGCCTTTTTACTTGCCTTGTCGTTCGCTCGCTGATGGTGCAAAGAGACTCTCAGGGGCAAGCTCACGCGTAATCAGTAGAAAACCATGAGCATAACTTTTGCTGCTGCTGCGGTCGGACCCATTCTTGAATTCGGTCACCGTTTTTGTCGGCCGCTTGAAATTCCTTTCACAACCTGAACCTCTTCTGCACATCTCAACACGCATCGACAAAGCTGCCTTCTCCTCTTGCTTCCATCAGCTCGAATGAGCTGGCCAACTTGGATACTCCAGGCGGCTTTCCTTCGAACACAATCGCTACCCCTGACCATCGTTCTTTCACCTTCCGAACCGATCATTCTTTGCAACTCGTATCCCATACACCTCCGATCATTCGATTTGTCTCTCAAAGGTATCAGCCTAGCGTGGCTGATTGTAGCTTCGAACTCGAGACTCTCGCAATCTCCTGACTTGTGGTGATCATCATCAAGCATATACGCTCGCACCGTAGTCACTTTGGACGGTCTTTCTCCCGATCACTCTTGCGATCATCGCATCGAAGCGCGCTTTTTATCTGCGCACCGCCGGCCGATTTTCTGCAATTTTGAGGACAGCCGCGGCTCTTTGGCACACGCGCCTGCTGCCTCTCATCATCGCAAAAATCTCACTTTACTCGCACCTCGAACGAAGCTGTCTCACCTGCTGTTGGAGGACGGCTGGAACCGTCGAGGCCTCTTCTATCGCCAGATAGCTGTTACTACCTCGCGCCATAAGCAGTCAAGGACATTCGTGTATCCAGCACTTTGCGTTGTGGCAGCGCTCTCACGGGATGAACAGAAGCACCAGTATCACTCCATTTTAAGGCAACCGGTGACCTGCCTTCATCATGTCGAGCTCAAATCCGCAGAAAGCCTCGTCTGTGGCGCGCCCGCAGCAATACAATGCGCAGATGTCTGCGCACTTGCCGCAGCAGCAACCCACTCGTCTCCACGTCAATTCGCGTCCCAAAGATTCTCCCAAGCCAAGGCAGAAATCTGCGGTGCTTTCTGTCATCGCCACACTGCCTCTGTCCTCCCGAAGCTCCTCTTCGTCGTCGTCATCATCATCATCATCATGCTCTTCGATCTCATCTCCGTCTCCTACTGCATCCACTTCCGAACCAAGCGCGTCGGGGTCCTCGCCAAACATGTCGACGCCTAATGCTTCGACGTCAACAAAGAGCTCTGTTGCGCATGGCATCACATCCTCATCCTCATCTTCGAAATTGGCCTTTCACACCGGTCATCGTGCCGCGAGTGGGTCACTTGACCGGATCGCTGCTCTTCCCATATCGGCTGCTGCACGCGTGCAAGAGTCTGATCTTTCGCCCAGGCAGAATGTTCAAAGAGGCTCTGATGGCCGGGCCAGCACCTCTGGTACGTCTGTCATTCGGCACGTCAACGGGCAAATTGCTCGATCCAGCTCATCCTCCAAGCCCTATCCACGAACAGGCCGAACACCAATCGGGCAGGTGACACCCATCCAAAGTGTCATCGTCCCGAATCAGCTTGCGCAGCCTGTCTTATCCAAGGGGCCTTTCGTCAGCAGACCCTCGGCTCAGCTCAGTCCTGGAAATCAGATCGGCGCGATCAACCACGTACAGAATGCTGCAGTCTCTCGACAGACCCCTCCGCAGTCCACACAGCCTCCACTGACACCCGCAGAGAATTCTCCCGCTCATGTTCACACACCGCCTCCCCATCGCGTGCACACGAACGGTGCTGCGGAGTCACCGAACTCAATTCTGACCAACGTCGGATCCGACTCGCTGAACGGCTCGCATCCAAAGATCTTACAACCAGCGCAGCAATCAGCGACCCGCGGAAACTACCACACCCAGCCGCTTTCGAGACCGCTCTCCCATGTTCTAGTAACGAGTACGCCGCCTCAGGCTGCCACTCCGTCACGAGCACTAACAGGATCTCGATCTTGGCGCGTCGAAGCGAGTTCCGCGCAGAAACCCGAGGCATCTCGAGGTCAAGTGGCATCACATGCTCCTGTTGCGACTCCAAGCTCAGCCGCGACGCCGTCCTCACTTGCACAGAATTCGATCCCAAATTCTTCGCCCAGAAGCCCGGCGACTCTTCCCCGTTCGGGGACTGCATTTTCTTCCTCTCCAAAGACGCAAAGCGTTCCAACACAAGCAGGTACAGACCCTTTGGTACCAGCACGACCCGCGACACCGACTCATCCCGAAGGTTTGGCTCGACCTCGACCCCAAGCGCAGCCTCAATCATCAGCAGCGTCCGCTCCAAACGGCATTCTGAACAAACCAGACGCAGCGTCCAATGGCTCTCTTCTGCCTACTCAAAGCGCGAGTGCGGTCGTGAACAATCGCGTGGCCAGCGCCAGTGCCTCGAACGTCAACCCTAACATCTGGAATGATCCCCGAGGAAGCTTCCTGACATCTACAGAGCCAGTCAATTACGAGTCCTTGCTAGCCAACAAACGCAAGGTAACGCCCGTCTCTGTCGTCAGCTGCCTCACGCTGACCGAGGAGGAGCTGGACAATCTCATTGTCGACCATGTCGAAGAGCAGTGCTTGCCGCTGGTCATCTCGGACCTGCACAAGACCGCGGCTTGGTCCTCGGACCTCTTCAACCTCGAAAAGTACCAGCATCTCGCACCCGATCGAGGGCTTGAAGGCGAAGCGGTCGGCGCTCGCAATCTGACCGATGGAAAGAAACGGGTGATTCCCGTGCCAGAGTTTCTCGCTCATTGCAATAATGTCAAGGAGTACTCGCCGAATCAGACCGAGAAGCTCTATGGAGACGAACTGCCTTGCCCAGCGGCTTGGAAGCAGGCCCTCGATGCGATGGTGCATCCGCGCCTTCAATACCACGGCGAGCACGACTTATCCTCATCGCTGAGTCCGAATGCTCGCTCCGTCTCTTTAGCATGTCGCTTTGGTCCAGGTCAAACTTGCCTTCCGCTGCATCGCAGCTTGTGCTCGAGTCTCACCCAGGATCTCATGGTGTGGTCTGATCCAGAAGCATCTTCCATCTGGATGATCGCCAATCCTGAAGACGCTGAGGCTGTCGATCAATTCATCTCATCTAAAGGTGGCGACCCTCAGGCTGAGACCTTCAGCCCACGCCCGAAGGAACTCATCTCTGCACCCTTCCCTGTTTTCTGCTATGAGCAAAAGCTCGGCGATCTTGTCCTCGTGCCATCTCGAGCTACCCACATGGTGGTCAACACTGGCGGACGGACCATGACCGTGGCATGGTCTCGGACGACAGCTGATACCCTCTCGAGCGCACTGTTTGCCGACCTTCCTCTGTATCAGCGTTACTGCCGGAGGGAGAAGCACCACATCAAGTCTGTGATCGAAGAGACCTTGATCAAGTACACAAAGCAGATCGAGTCTCATGCTGACACGGCGCTCGAACTCTTGCCAGAGACGTTCCGTGATCTGTGCAAGCTGCTCGAGATGTACGATGCCATTATCACCGACGAGTATGTTCCCGAGTGGCACGACATCGTGAGGGAAGGAAGCGTCGACAGCTACGTCGAATGTGACTTCTGTGGTGTCGACATATTGCACGGCTACTTTGAATGCTCCGCCGGCGAGACGCTGTGCACCCTTTGCTATTGTCAGGGAAGGCTGTGCGGATGCTCTGATGCTGCCGAAGCCCTCAAGCCTCGCCAACATTGGCGAAGCTTTGGCGACCGCCTGCAGATACGCAATCAAGCCGCTCAGGTCCTGCTCAAGGTCAAACCAGACCTAGCGTTGGAAAAAGAGCCAGCGACGGACGATGACGAGGAGGGGGATTCTGAAAGCGGCGAACCTGCGCCTTGGGCCGTAAAGCTACTGAAGGAGGAGACCATGCGAGAGGAGGAGTGGCCGTTCGCATTCTTGGCTGCATTTAGGCTGTACAACATTCGACAGACCGCTGGGTGGCAAAGCAACATGGGAACTTGTAGACTCTGCAAGGCGGCCTTGGACGTAACACAGCGACGATATTGCAAGCCATGCCGACATTCGTACTGCCACGGCTGTCTGCTTCATCGACTCAAGATCCATCCTGTGCACACTTTCGCCCAGGACAACGCGGAGCACTTTCACAATTACCACCGGAAGAACAGCGTGCTCGACTACAAGGAGTGGTTGCAGGACCCGCTCTTATACCGCGTTCAGGCTCGGGCGCACTTTGCTTTAATGGAAGCAGCCAGGATTTATATGAGGTGCACGCCGATCAACGAAAAGTGTCGCATCGGCTTCCTTGACGTGACGCCCGAGCATCCGCATGGCTTGTCTGGTAAACTTGATCTCAAGAAACCCAGAAAGGATGCAAAGGACAAAGCCAAAGACGCGGCCGCTTCCGCCTCTGCCCCTGCCTCTGCCTCAACCATCTCAACACCGATTTCGCGCAAGCGCCAGAGCGATGTCTTGCAGGCACCATCTGCCCCCTCACCAAGGAATGTGACGGGCAAGAGGGCCAGGCTTGACACCCCACCGGATGTCGAGCCCATGGACGAGGAAGAGATCGCTCTTCTAACACCAAACGATCATGCTGTCAGCAGTGTCCGCATCGATCCAGCGCCCACGCGGTCGACAATCAGTACCCTGAGGGCTGCCACTGATCGGACCATCGCCTCTTCGACCTCTCAGAACAAGGGGGTTGCAAGTTCGGTTCCAACGGTCGAGAGCGGCATCAGGAAGTTTGTGCTTAGAGCGGGGGGAGCTGTGCCGATATCACCAACCACCCCTACTTCGTCGGTCTCTTCTTCATCATCAACAACGAAGGCTACAACAAGCGCTCCTGCTTCCCTGAACGTGCAAGGCAACTCACAGGTTATTGCTGAAACCCCACCGAAGTTGCCATCGACTACAGCACAATCTCAGTTGACTGCCAGCTCCGTTGTGCATTTGAGCAAGGGATCTGCTTCGTCTCCGCCGAGTGCTCCAATCGTTGCCAAGGAGCTGGTAGCGACATCTGCTCCCACTGCGGCCGCAGCAACGGCTCCAGGCCCAAAAACGGCGATGACTTCGTTTGCAGACCCGGCTCAAGCCGATGCAGCAACAGTGCCGGCTTCAGCTCAACGTGCCGTGGTACAACTCGCTACTGTTCCCCAAGCACTGGAATCTCGAAGCGAGGGAACTGTTCCTGCGCTAGTAGCTCAGGTCATCGAAAGAGGCAAGGCAGGCGTCGAATCTTCAAGGGCAGCAACGAGTGTAGCGGCTGCTAGCACCGGTACCAGCTCTCATAGGCCTGCCATGACGACGGCTGACGCTGTAGGCTCGGTTTTGTCTACACTCGATGCGACTAATCTACGGGTGATCACTGAAGTTCTTCGCATCTTTTGCAACTCGATGAAGGAGTTGCACGCGGAAGCGGCGGAGGAGAACAGGAAGTCTCGCGCAGAGCAGGCCGTGGTGCAGACAAAGCAAACCGAGGAGCTCAGACAGATGCGAGAGATGCTGGTGGCACAGTCAAAAGAGCTCAGAGAGATGAAGGAGAAGCAAAGGAAAGCAGAGGCCAAGCATGTCGATGCAATGTCGCAAGTCTCGCGCAAGCTTGATGTAACGGAAGAAAAGGTCGATCAAGTACACGGCATGTTCCAGGGACTGATGGATGATATTGAACGGGGGGCGCGGGCTCAGCTGGAAGAAGACGAGTCGATGCAAGCTGGTGAGCCCATTGTGATTGATGCAGCGTCTTCAAGATCCTCTTCATTGACTCCGAATAGCAATGCACAATAGCCGAGGTAGCTTCTTTCGTATGTATTAAGCAACGAGACTAGTGACTCGATCGATTTTGATACGCCTCTTCTGCTTTCAGACGTACGGGACAAAGGAAGTGATACAGTGTCACTGTGTGACGAGAGCCATCCTGTGTGGCTTTGCTGAAACTTCGGGGCTTGTTTTTAGGGCTTTACGAGCTGATCTTGTAAGCAAGCTTCTCTGCTGAGACTTTACCGTCTTGCAAGTACTTGAGACCTTCAGTGATCCTGTTGAGACCACCGGACATCTCTTTGATCCTGTTGCCGCGAACAAGACCCTTGGAGAAGAGAGTGTAGAAGTGACCGTGGTCGCCATTGAGCCACTCCTTCATGAGGTTCGAGTCGGCAGTGACGCACTGCTCGTCGAACACGGCCTTGCCATAGGAGAAGGGGCGGCCGAGGGCGGTGTAAGCGAGGGTGTGAATGATGTTGACTTCGCTCTTGCGGAGCGCAATGGCTTCAGCATCTGGCTTGAGGAGTACGACAACATCTCCACCTTTGGCGCCGAGCGACTTGACACAGAGCTGCTGGGTGCCATTCTCGGAGATGCAGTCGAGAGCCTTGCTCTGTCGTATCGGGCAGAGAGGATTAGAAGGTATGTGGTGAGAAGTTGGTACAAAAGCGAGGGATGTTTGCACAGCAACGAGGTCGGTCACTTACTAGGTTGGGATACTTGGATGCGATCTTTTGGGGTGTGGTCTCGTCTCGGTAGTCGTAGACGTCTTCGGCACCGATTTCCTTGAGGAGTTGGTGGTTCTTGGGACTGGCAGTGGTGATAACCCTGAAGCCAGAGATATGAGCGAGCTGGATAGCCCACTGACCGACAGCGGTGCTTCCGGCCCAGATGAGAACCTCGGTTGCGTCACCAGTGACTTTGACGGCACCTTTAGAGTAGTCAGGCACAGGGAGAGAGAGACGGTGGAAGAGAGCCTAGTGGCATGATGAGCAAGCCAGAAGGAGAGGCAGAATGTGAGGGACGTCAGCGCACAAGCCACGCTAGGGATCAAGTCAGACTCATGAAGGTTCGACTCATGAAGAAGGCTAGGATACTTGCTTGAACGGCCGTCTCTCCACCAACACCGACGGAGCTGGCAACAAAGTCATCTACGCCATCGGGAATCTTGGCGACGATCTCGCTATTGGTCTTGAGATACTGAGCAAAGCTGCCACGGTCGGGATCCTTGGCCCCGTGGACGAAGCCAGCAACACGGTCACCCTTCTTGATGGACTTGTTCTTTACATCGGGACCGAGCTGCTCAACGACTCCAGCAAAGTCGCAGCCGACAGTGTTACCAGGTGGAGAGATGATAGCAACATGCTTCCAATCGGTAGGGTTGAGCGTGACAGCGGTAGTTCGGATGAGGATTTCATCCTTGTCGAGCGAAGGAACAGGGACTTGCTTGACTTCGGCCTTGTTGCCCTCGACAGTGACGAGGGCTTGCATCATGGAAGGTACAGACATATTTGCCAGATGTTTCAGCTGCGAGTTCTGTGTAGACGGATGATCTGATGATGAGACGACGGTGCGGAAAGGGATCCGAGAAGAAGTTGCTGAAATATATAGCCGTCTGAATGAGCTGCACAGTCGATCTGTCGCCTCATTAACTCACAGTCTTTTGATTGACGTGATGTGACCGGCTGAGGGGTCAACTAGAATGAGCGAGCTAGCCTTGACTCTCTGTCACTTGCAGCTGCTGCTGCTTCATCATGGTTTCGAGCCGCCGTCTGTCTCACGGTCACACGGAGTTGCTTAATTCCGTCTCTAACGCCGAGCTCAAGAAAGTGGAGGTAGAACTCTGAAATTTATGTTGCCCGTGCGAGCAGACACTCTTTGAGCAAGTTATTGCGGCCAGAGGAAAGGAATCTTGCTCAATACATCGGGGGTGACGGATCGGTAGGTCACCTGGACCGATCTCAACGTGTGGTGACGAACATCTGTCTAAGGAAAGCACATTCATGGAAAGGAAACAAGTTCTCAAGTCTCAAGAGCCTGATCAGGTCGGAATAGCCGATCCTGGCGCAAGTAGGTGACCATTTCGCGTTCTCCTGGCCACACGACGGAAGCCGCGGACCAAGGAAAGAATGCAAGGATTCGTCGCAGCAGATCTGCACAAGAAGCAGAAGCAGAGGAAGAAATGCTGTTGCTCAGACGCGCAAACGAGACTGCCTGCCGCTGCTCACCGAGATGCAGCGGCCGACGAGGCCCAGGAGGTGAAAGCTGAGCTCAAAAGCCTAAGCTGAGCTCTTTCAGCAAGACTTGGGAACATCGTCTGTGCCGACAAAGAGCAGCTTGTACGGTTCGCAAACATCGGAAACAGTCCGAACGCTATTCAAACAAGCTCGCAAAGAGCACACGAACAACGATCAAGAGTCTAATTTGCTGTCTAGTTTTGCGACATTTTCATGATTGTGCTTTGGAGAGTACTGCGAACTACTACTACACTCTCTCAGAATGCAGTTGCTTCAACTTTCCTGTCCGTGCTGCGATTTGTCGGACCCTTCCGTTAGACTCTGTGACTGCAAAGACAATCGTAGCCGATACTCGTAACAAGTGAACCTCTCGCACAGCACCTCTCATCCTCCCCCTCCCCCCCCCCACCTCTCCTCCACAATACCCCCTTCCTACAACTCGGCTCGCTTCGACCTCACCAGCATACAACCATCGACCACGGAAGACGCTCGGATCATGTGGGTCGCGCTAATGAAAGTCGTCATCTCGTGAAGGACCCGGTCGAGCGACTCAATTTCCCGCAACGCTTGCATGTCTTGATCCCACTATCCCCACTCACCCTCATCACGCTTGCTGTGCACACGCAGTGAGTGGCTGAGGCCGAACATGGCCCAAGATGCGCTAAGTGTTGGGCGAGAAGCGCGCAAGCTCACAGCCACAAGGAGGAGAGCCAGGCGTTCACATCCTGGCTCCCCTTCTTCCTTACCACTCGTCCGTCAATTTCGATCACAAGGGGAGACAGCTTTCCAACAACATGGCCGATGGATCTCAAAACACCAAATACGAACTTTGCTCTTATGCTCCCTCGTCATCACATCGCTCTTCTACCCCGCCGTCGGTATCTACTTTTGGGCTTCTAAAGGTGGGCCAGGCGTCTCGAGAGGTGATGCTAAGAGTGTCTGGAGATCCCTCAGCACGCCCTTTATGGACTCGTTTGCCAGCAGCGGTAGGAAGCATGTCAACAGCCTCAGCGACCTTCGCATGATCTGGGACGATGCCCGCGACCTCAGAGCCATCGACATCAGCGACGCCCACTCCATCTTCGATCGACAAAGCTCTCGTCCCGATCATCAGACTATCAACAGCGCCTCAGCCTACTCCCGTCCTCGCTGCCAGTCCATCCGTGTAGAGCATGTCTTTGTCACCACCGATGATGTCATGGCCGGAAGAGGGCCTCGTTTTGGTGTGCTGGAAAAGCGTATCCTCCATTCGGCACTCCAGTTGCAGAGGTCGATAGAGTCTGAACTTAGGAGCCATAGAGATGACGCCGATGATGACAAAGGCCTCCAACCTGCTCTTGTCTGTGTGCAGGCACGAGACTCCTTTCCGGGACGGTCACCGCTTGCCGACGATCTATCAAACTCAGGAAGCAATGCCGCCTGCCTCACCCTGTCGCCTCTCGAATACTGGAACCTGGACTCGCAAGCTATCTTGGCAGACGATGAACCCGCCCGACTCGTTTCGCAGTCGTCACTCAACCGCACAAGACTCGGTGCACCGCTTTCCCCCTCCACCACCTTGGCAGGGCGATGGCATCTTTTCAAGCGATTGCCAAGGGCCGAGTACCTCGCCTTCACCTTCTTCTTACGTCAATATTCGGCTGAACGGTGCTCTGACTTGTGGCCATTGTCACCCACAGCTTCTGTCGCCGCGGGAGCATCATCACGGCATGCAGACTGGCACGAGCTACTCACCCGACTTACGGGAGGCCAGGTCCGCCTCATTGCTTCGCCCGAAAACGTTTCTCACAGCCTCGTGCTCCAGTTCACACCCGACACTCCCTCCTCAAGACGGAAACCTACCCACATCTTCTTGCTTACTGCCTACGCCTTCGTCATCATCTACATCTCGAGAGGCCTTATCAAGCTCCGCCAAGTGCACTCGCGCTTCGGTCTCGCTTTCACCGGCACCACGCAGCTTCTTATCAGTATGATCATGAGTGTTAGCATCTGCGCTCTTCTGGGCATCCGTCTCACCATGGTCCCTTGGGAGCTGTTGCCCTTCGTTATCGTCGTCGTCGGTTCCGAAAACATGTTTAGCTTGACCAAAGCCATTGTCGACACCCCTCTCTCCTTGACTGTCTCGTCTCGTATCGCCCACGGTCTGGGAAAAGTCGGCCTACCCATCACACTCACCACGCTCGCCGACATCCTTTTGCTCATCACCATCGCCATCTTCATTGGTGTCCGAGCCGTTCGCGAGTTTTGCATCTTTGCCATCTTCTCCCTCGTCATGGATTGGTTCTTGCAGATGACCTTCTTCATCACCGTTCTCAGTATCGACATGCAACGACTCGAACTCGCCGATCTCTTGACCCAAGGCACTCGCATTAGCCGTAAGCAAGACGCTTCCATGAACTCGCACGACAGCGCCTTGAATGGCTCCAGCGGCGTAAGTGACGACTTTGAAGGCGACATCCAGCCAGATGGACAACGGCGTAACGGCACCGCTCGGATGCCGCAGCCTTCTACCAACATCGTCATTGCTGGACTATCCAAGATCTGGAAGGCGAGAACTGCCAGAACGGCCAGTCTCACGCTGATCCTGGTCTACATGGGTGGACTCTATCTGTACTACGGTACCGGCTTCCCGAGCCATCAGCAATCGAGCTACGTGCTTCCAGCAGACTGGGATACCATCCGACCTGCGCCAGCTTTGGAGAGCACCTTCGACCCGTTTGCGCATCTCGACACCAAACCTGAACCAACACTGCCGTGGTGGATCTCGTCGCCCAGCGCCGATCTCTGGACATCCTTGAACCCGCTCGGCGCGCATGAGCTGCGCATCAACGTCGAGCCATGGACCATCCTGTCGCTCAGATCCTCCAACGAGGGCGAAACTCCACCCTCCACCGCCACTTTTGCGGGATGGGCCCTCTTCCGACCGAGGATACGAGCTTTGATCTGGTTTGCCAAGCTGGTCGTTCTCCCGATCTCCGGAACGACAGCACTGCTTTGGATGCTTCTGCTCTATCTCCTCAAAGACACCGAGCTCCTCGATGCACAAAGGGACAAGTCCGAAGCGGATCCTTCCGAGAGCGGAAACGGCTTGCCTCTGGCGTCATCAGCGCATTCAATCCAGCCAGAGACCACCGTCCACGCTAACGCTCATCACTGCGATGTTGAGTTCCTTGCTCACGACCGAGGGCTTGCTGCCTCCATAGACAATGGCGGCGGCATCCGTGTGTGGAAGTTCGATGGTCTCAGTGGTGGCAATGAAGGTGCAGGACGCAGGGGTAGCATCAGCGGTGCGCGAAGTGGGCCTCTGTCCGACGAAACCGCTGTGACTGCGTTGGCCCTTTCAGCCGAGGCCCGATGGCTTGCGGTCGGGCATGCGTCAGGCCGGGTCACCTTCGTCTCGACAGACACTCTCGAACCAATCTGGAACTCGCTGCCCGACGACTCGGTCTCGCCGATCACAGCTCTCACGCTGCAACACCATGAGGCGATGCACACGCTCGAAGCAGCTACAGCTTTTTCATCACACCGCGACGGCACAATCCGTATCTGGAACGTCGCACGAAAAGGAGTCAAGCAGGCAACCTCTGTGACTCAGCTCGACTCGCGCTTGCGTTGGCGATCCGTTACGATTGATGTTGTTCCGACCGCTAGTAGCAGTGGTGGAAACTCTGTACTATCGGGAACAACCTTCCTTGGCTTCACCAATACAGACGGTCAGTTTCACATCAGAACAGTTGAACTGGGCGCACCCAGCACCAAGACCGTCTTCACGCTCGGTATCGAAGACCGTTGCCACGTTCGCTCAGCGTTGCTTTGCCAACTAGCAAGTCGCCCCACGTCAGCAGACGAGGCGCCTCTGCTCCGAAGTACACTTCTGCTCGGTCTTGCCAACGGCCGTGTACGGCTTGTCGACTTCGAGACGGCCGAGACAGTCAGCATTGTTGAATTGGACGATGGGGCCGTTACCAGCTTGCAAGCCATCGATGCTGGTGATGCCAACACTTCGGCTTTCATAGCACAGACTTCCGGAAGAGCCTCTCTGCTGATTGTCTCTGGCGGTGCAACAGGCGCATCGGCGGTGATGGAGAAGAGCGGTTCAATCCACAGCAGCTTGGGAGCGTTCATGTCAGGATCACCACTGCGCATTCGGACACCCAACGGATCTCGCACCAATGCAGCCAACTTTTGGGCCGACGGATCCACACCGCCTAGTCCAGCCTCGGAACTTGCCAACCCCTTGTCGTATCCCATGTCATCGCACGGATCTGCATCGAGGCTACGACGAGCCAGCGCTCACGTCAGAGACCGCAGTAGTACTGTCATGGGAGCCGATGTCACTTCGCAAGCTACTGCCGCATCATCCAGTCTTTCAGTGTTACCGAACTTGCCACCACCTAGCAACCCCACACAAAAGACCGACGAGCGGCAACTGCGACTTCTAGGCTGGGTTCGATGTCAACGAGGCGGCAGTTTTGCGACTGCAAGCAAGACTCTTCTCGTTGGTATCGGTCGAGCACAGCGAAGCACTCATGCCAGTCGATGGGAGTGGTGGTCATTAGATCTGCGCGATGAACTGGTGCTGGGACGTGGCGGAGAGTTGATCGTTCCTCGTCAGGCTTTGCTCCTGCAGTCAGAGACGGCTGCCTACAATGCGCCATCGAGAACATCGCTGCAAGGGCAGCTCAATGGTCGACGACCATCTCAGGACTCATCATTGGATGACGCCCTCTCTTTCTCCCGCCTCCATCCGGTACATGGCTTTGCGACGCCGCAACGCAACGAGAGTACGCTCCTGTTTGGCTTTGGTGGCTCCGTTGGAGTGCTCCAAGTCAAGCCAGCGCAGTTTTGATCTTCCGATGTTCTCACCTTCACATATCCTTATTCACGGCTCTTCGCCGTTCCCAGAATCACTCCTAACAAGTGCATGTATTCATTCTGTATATAGATCATCGCCATCGGAGGATGGACCTCAGACACACTGTATTCTACCTTCAGCAGCTCTTTGGCATCAGCATCGCAAAATCCAAGGAACTGCGATCTCATCCCCCACACACCCCCTCATGTCTGTTACAGCATTAGGCAAAATGGTCCAGTGAACGACGCCAACTAAAACCGGCGATCTCGTCGAAATCAACACAGTATGAGCAGAGTATACAGCCGCTTTGCTGTCGGAACTGAGCTGATGAGCCTTTGACGATGCCTTGGGGATACAGAAAGCTCACTGACACCTCGAGAGGCCTAGAGTGCCGGCGATTGGATTGAAATTCAGCTCGAATGGACTCGATATGATGGCGGTCTAGAGTTCGGGAAGAAGTCCGGTCCGGGCTCATGAGCTTAGCTTTCCAGCTTTTTATCGGACACTTTGAGCGATGAAATCTCAATGGAGTGACAGGCCAGGGTGCAGCAAATTGATCGGCACAGAAGCGCGCGAGCGTTATCGATCGGTCAAAGTGAGCATCATCACGCACAGAGGCATTGAGCAGGATCTCCGGACTGGTCACCCTTCCTAGCTTCGAATTGAGCCCCCGCGGGTTGGCAATAGAACCCTTCTCTACCTTATCTTTCGATGTTATTTGTCATGTTTGGGGTCGCTTGTATGTTAGGTTTTATTGTGACAATCATTCCCGTAGATGCTAGAGGCAGTGTGGGATAAGATTGAGTGGGATAGTATGGGATGAGATCGGATGATCTGATACGTACTGCCGCGAGAGGCGAGCGAGTGTCCAGCACCGTTCGAGGACAAGTGAGTGACTGCAGTGGCAAACAAGCTCGTTTTTGCGCGGTCAGCATCCAGTCATCTTTCTCAAGTTTACCTTTGGGGGAGGGGAAGCTGTAGCTTTGGATGCGGACATAGCTTTATGCAACGACCGAATCAGCGAAGACGGGAATAAAAGAGAGAGAGAGAGAGAGAGAGAGAGAGAAAGGAAGAGAAATTGTTTTGCGTGTGTGTCGCTGCGTCATGAAGCACAATCGTACAGCATAGCTGGTCAGTTCAAGCAGCGCTGAGTGATTATCCTCACCTTCTGAAGAATATCAATTTATTCGGAAATTGCTCGTCTGTCAGTTGCTTAAGAAGAAAGATTGGGGTTGCACGGTCGCAGTGTGTTTGTGCGTTTGGGCCTTGCTTGTTCGCTGATTTTCTGCGATCGTTTTTGACCCTGCAAAATCGATCTCAGCGGTCGAACTCAGTGTGTGCGGTCCGTGCACTAGGCGAGTGAAGCCGGCGTCAGCTGAGAAGCAAGACTCATTCGGCTCCACTCCTGCCTGCGCTCTGGTGTGCTTGCTGATTGAGAGCGTTGCCGTCCGTTCGTCCCTGCCATCAGCTTCGCAACTTCGGACCGCTGCTGCTTTCTTCTCAGTCGACTGCTCAACGCCCTTTCCCGGTCAACACCATCCATCTTTTGTCTTCATCCTCAAAGCATCCTCTCTCCCACTTTTTAACCGCTACCACAACCACCACCACCTCCTCTGTTCTTTGCCTTTTGCTCTTTAGCAGTTGCAAGGATTCTCTCTACAGCTCGGAACCGCATCTCTTCCCTCGCTGAACAGCTTACTTCACGCACAATGTCGTCTCAAGCTGTGTAAGTACTCCTTCTTCGTTCGCTTTCAGACAGACTGCTTATCACTGCATCGCCAGTGGCGACAGCTTCAGCCCCATCATGATGTAAATGCTAACCTTCTTTTGTATTTCGCCGTGCTCGCTGTCTTCTATTTTCCGTCCACAGTGCCGATATTGGCCTCATCGGCCTTGCCGTCATGGGTCAGAACTTGATCCTCAACATGAACGGTACGTGTCTCTCACACTCTGCGGTTTGCGAGCTCCTTTGGAACACGGATGCTCCGTTCAGAGACGGAACAGCTTGATCGTGGAAACAGTGATGCTGACTATTCCTCTCTGATCCATTCTGCTTGGTTTTTTTTGTTTTTTTTTGACACACACAGACAAGGGATTCACTGTCTGTGCCTACAACCGTACCACCAGCAAGGTTGACGACTTCCTCGCCAACGAGGCTAAGGGTGAGTAAACCGTCTCTGTCACGAGCTTGTTGCTTGACTCGCAGCCAGGCTTCCGGACCCGTGCTTCCGGCGCAGTGCGCTGAGAAGGATGGGCCCGCGGATGAGAAAGCCTGACCCGCAAGGAGAAGAATGCTCTTCGTAATTGCGAAGAGAAGTTGATTTCTGACAGACCCTCCTCCCATCCCCCTCTCTTCCGAATTGGCTGCATTGTCTTGCTTCTCGACTGTTGATCCGAATCGACACAGGCACCAACGTCGTTGGCGCCAAGTCCATTGAGGAGTTCGTTGCCAAGCTCAAGCGCCCCCGTAAGATGATCCTCCTCGTCAAGGCCGGTCCCGCCGTTGACGCTTTCATTGAGCAGCTCGTGCCCCACCTCGAGCAGGGCGATATCATCATCGACGGTGGTAACTCGCACTACCCCGACTCCATCCGCCGCGCCAAGGAGCTCGAGGCCAAGGGTCTCCTCTTTGTCGGCTCCGGTGTCTCTGGTGGTGAAGAGGGCGCCCGTCACGGTCCCTCGCTCATGCCCGGTGGTTCCGATGCCGCCTGGCCCCACATCAAGGAGATCTTCCAGAAGACTGCTGCCCAGTCCGACGGTGAGCCCTGCTGTGACTGGGTCGGCCAGACCGGTGCCGGCCACTATGTCAAGATGGTCCACAACGGTATTGAGTACGGTGACATGCAGCTCATTTGCGAGGCCTACGACATCCTCAAGCACGGTCTCGGCCTCAAGGAGTCCGAGGTCGGTGACATCTTCACCAAGTGGAACACTGGTGTTCTCGACTCGTTCTTGATCGAGATTACCCGTGACATTCTCAAGTACAACGACGAGGACGGAACCCCCCTCCTCACCAAGATCCTCGACTCTGCTGGACAGAAGGGTACCGGCAAGTGGACCGCCATCAACGCTCTCGATCTTGGTCAGCCCGTCACCCTTATCGGTGAGGCCGTCTTTGCCCGTTGCCTCTCGTCGCTCAAGGGCGAGCGAACCCGTGCCTCCAAGGTTCTCGGTGGCCCTCAGATCAAGCCCTTCGAGGGCAACAAGGAGCAGTTCATTGCTGACCTCGAGCAGGCTCTCTACGCCTCCAAGATTGTCTCGTACGCCCAGGGCTTCATGCTCATGCGCGAGGCTGCCAAGGAGTACGACTGGAAGCTCAACAACCCCTCGATCGCTCTCATGTGGCGTGGTGGTTGCATTATCCGATCCGTCTTCCTCAAGGACATCACCGCTGCTTTCCGCAAGAACCCCGAGCTCGAGAATCTTCTCTTCGATGACTTCTTCAACAAGGCCATCCACAACGCTCAGGAGGGCTGGCGTCGCGTGGTCGCTCAGGCCATCCTCTGGGGTATCCCCACCCCCGCATTCTCCACCGCTCTCGCCTTCTTCGACGGTTACCGTCGCGAGCTGCTCCCCGCTAACCTCCTCCAGGCTCAGCGTGACTACTTTGGTGCCCACACCTTCCGCGTTCTTCCCCAGTTCGCCAGCGACAAGCTTCCCGAGGGCAAGGACATCCACATCAACTGGACCGGCCGTGGTGGTAACGTCTCTGCCTCGTCCTACAGCGCATAAGCGTCCTACTAAACGCTTTTGGTGCAACGGAGGCCGTTGTGGCTCTTTTCTGACTTGTCCAACGCTTCTGGCTCCATGAAGGGAGATTTTACGCTTGTACCACTATCCCAAAATCTCTCTGATCTGCTCTTGAATATGATAAAATAATCCGCATGCACCCGGTGTGTTTCGTGAGACATGAGGCTGTGGTTCACAAGTATCTAGCGACGGAGCCCATCCCTGATCTTCCAGAATGAATGAGCCAGAAGAGCTTGAAAGAGGAAGACGATGGGCTCGTTTCTACGCCAATAATAGAGTCTAGCGATCGAATACAAACATCTCATAGGCCTCAGGTTTGAGCCACAGATGGAACAGTAATAGCTGAGATGTCAGATAGGAACACGTCAAACCTGCTGAGAAGGAGGACATCGTATTCTTGTAGCCGACGTCGAACCTGATGAGAGGGTGTGGCATTGATGATCTTCTCCGGAGTTTGTGCATGTCAAAAATTGAAAATCTAAATTCTCGAAGAATTCCAGCTCCCTATTGTATCTGCCATCCGGAAAAAAAGCGCGTTCGACGACAGCGCAACGGAGTGGAAAGCTCGCCAATCATAAGCCTACATCTCTATCACTCTAGCAAAAAGGATATTGCTACTTGCAGGGATCGAACCTGCGATCTACTCCGTTAGAAAATGTTGGATTTTTTTTGTAAAGGAGTTATCCTAACCACTAGACGAAAGCAGCCTGCCATGGTGTTTGAAACAAAGGGCAGATAGAATATATTTACTATTGATGGGGTGATTGGGGTGAGATTGGACGATCCCAACGCTTAAAATATGCGGAGGCAGGCGGGTTACAATGAATTGTGCTATTTTATCTTGATCAATTTTATTTTTCCGTTCGATTCCATGGGGTCGTGCTGGCCTCTGACTAGAGTCGAGCTAGAGTCGCACATAGTTCCTGCTGGCAGCTCACAAGGAATAAGACGAAATTGGCAAGAGGCGAATTAATCTTGTACAAGAGTAATGCTGGAGTCCTACAAGAGTCGAATTGGAGTCAAACAAGACTCGAGCTGGCCTGGTAAAAGGGTCGTGCTGGTCGGGCACGGCACTCGGCGCTAAATTGTCCAGAGCTCAGGGCTTGCAGACAAAGGCTGAAAAGATATTTAGAACGTGCGCTCTTCTGCTAAGCTTGTCAAGAGGCTAGGCGACTTCTGCGACGCTTGATCATACTGTGGACTTCCATGAGAGGCATTACAATGACGTTGGAGGGTGTGGCAAGGAAGTGGGCAGTTCGGCAGGTCTCTGACAAGGTATCTTGCTAAGGTGGCAAGGGTTCATATGACTCGGGATCGCTCTAGAAGACGGAGGAACCGTCTAGGCTCCAACTGCTCGACCTTCGCCGTCGTCGAGGAGGTCCAAACAGCTCATTAATCAAAAGTATTGCCTGTGTCCAACTTGTCCTGAGTCGTACTTTGAAGTCAGGTAGGACAGGGATTCTGGAAGTCGTACGACACGTTTGATCGTCGTTCAATGCGGGAAGGAACAGACGCACGGGCCTGCGGTTCCCGCGTTTGGCTGTGCTGATGCATCAACTCTTTTTCCCCATGTGAGCGCACGGACCGTTGATTGCGCTCTGCTGAAGGCGCCAAGCTTTTCAAGAGCTGTGTAGGCTGCGCTTACAGCCACGCACAAAGCCTAGATCCTTCGAACACGTTGGCGCATCCATCACTGAGCGGGTGTAAAAGTTTCTGGTGCGTTTAGTGTTCTTCTGAACGAGACGTCCATCACATGAAGGACGAAGCACTGAAAGAGCGTTTGCGACTTCTACGTCAAGGAAAGCAACCCGAAGCAGCAACCCCAAACAGTTTGTCTTCTCCTCCCCTCAATACATCTGCACCGAGGACGAAACCTCGAACCGCAAAAGCGATCACACCACAAGGCTCAGCTACTTCTTCAACCTCACCAGAACAAGCTGATCCGGATCAAGACTTGATCGAACGGCTTCGCAAGCTTCATTCTCAGGACGCATCGCAGCCATCGAAAGCAGAACAGGTCCTGCCCATTCAGACAGAAGAGTCCCAACCTGTCAAGCCTCGCGACGAGCAAGACGAGATCGACGCTTTGATTCAGTCAACGCGAGATCAACTCGACCTGGAACAATTTACAGGAGACAACGTCTTGGACTCCTACGACGCCGACCCTGACCATCTCTCAGACTCGGACCTGGAACGAGACATCGACGCCGTCAACAGAGACACAGCAGATATTGTCAACGCTGTTCGTGACGAACTTGCTCTCGAAAGACGCTCCGCTGTAACACCAACCCTTGAAGAACCTGAAGACTCAGAAGTGGCCGAACCACAAGATCAACCAACCATGGTGCGCTCCAATTCAGAGATCGAGCAAGCTCTTGCGGATGCCTCGCAAGACTCCGACTTCTTCGCTTCCAACAATGCCTTTATTGAGAACTCTCAGCCCCAGCCCGCTGCTGGTCCCTCCAAAGGCCGTCGCAACTTCCTCGACGGGCGCTTCTTCTTCGTGGCCATGGTCAGCTTGCTCATCATCGCCGTCTCCGCCGTACCAGGCGCTTACGCCTTCGGTGCTGGTAACATCCCCTCTTTCGCTTACATGGAGGGTAAGGCCTTCCGTCACGGTGATATCGAGGACATCCTCGAAGAGCTCGCCAAGAAGGTTGGTGGCTCGCTCTTCGGTTCGAGCAAGTTCGGCGGCTTGGATATCAAGCGCACCTACTTCGGTAACTGGCTGCGAGACTACAGTCAGGCCATGGACGTCGCTTCCTTGCAAAAGATGTCGAAGCAAGCTGTTCTCAACATCGTCATGGTGCTCGGCTTCTTGGCTCACGGCTACGCCACTGCCGAGTTCCAGGTTACAGACGAGAGACTCGGCGTGTACTTGCCCGAAGAGCACCTCGATAACCCTAAGGGCTACGCTGACGGCAAGGATGCTCGCGAGTACGATCCTCGTCTTCGTGAGCCTATCAACCCCGAAGAGCTCGAGATCGACTCCCGTTCTGGCATGAAGAACTACCTCGCCAACGAGAACGGTAACTGGCGAACTGGTTCAGGACTCATCCGAAAGACGCTTGTGCGTGTCATTGAAACTGGTCGACAGGCCCGTGACAGTGGACGAGATGAAGACATGTACGAGGCATACCGTCTTCTCGGTCAGGCACTCCATACTCTCGAGGACTTCCCCGCTCACAGTAACTGGACCGAACTCGCTCTCCACCGTCTTGGCCACCACAATGTCTTCCTTCACGTCGGTGACAATGTCAAGGTCCGTGCTCCTGACGGAACCCAGGTTGCGCCCATCGTTACTGGTACCTTCGGAAGCGCCGACTTCATCCATTCTCTCCTCGGTGAAGCTCAGGACCATCTCTCCGAAGCCTCGATTTCCGATCTCAACAAGGCCATGGACGACGCCAAGAGGAAGTCGAGCGGTACCAACCGCAGCCCCATCCAGGATCTTCTCGGAATGCTCGCCAAGATCCCCGGTGGTGGAGGCGACAACGCCTCTCGCGACCTCGAGGATGTTTCACGTGGACCCGTCTCGAACCCCGCCGACATGTCACCTCAAGAGATGCACGCCAACCTGTGGAAGATCCTCGAGCTCCGTGACCGCATCGTCAAGAGCATCGAAGGCACCATCGAAAAGATCCCCGGTCTCAGCAGTCTCGTGGAGAAGCTTTTCAATGAGCTCAACATCTTTGTCTTTACTCTCATCGAGCCTTACGCCAAGCCTATCATGCAGCAAGGTATGAACGCTCTCAAGATGGGTTCCGGTGCTGTCATTAACAAGCAGGAGCAGTTCGAGGTGTTTGACAACCCCAACGCCTCCGACCCCACCCACTCGATGCTTAGCAAGGACCACTTCGGTCTCATTCTTAACGAAGTTGCCGGCAACGTTGCCAAAATCATCGTCCGCAACACCGTCACCAAGATAGTCAAGGCATGGGATGACCGTGGCCAGGACCCTCACCGGGTTGCTGATGAGTGTCTTGCTGTCATGTTCCACCCTTACTGGTTCAACGGCGCGGCTCAAGTCCAGAAGGAGATGATAAACTACGTTGCTGACTGGGCTAGGAACCACTCGACCGAGATCGGACGTCTTAGCAAGCAAAGCGTTCGTGCTCACTCCAACACTCGTAGTGGTAAGGCCGAGCCTCACACGCACGGTGACGACCAGCCCAACATGGGCTCCTTCATGGGCGGCGGAAACAGTCAGGCAGCACACAACTTTGGTGGCAACCATCACTACGGTGGCGGTGGAGGTGGATACCCAGGCAACAACAGCGGAGGTGGAGGTGGCAGCAACAGCATTGGGTCGCAAATGGCTGGTTATGCTTCCAACTACGTTTCCAACCAGGTCCACGGCTTTGTCGGGAGTCATGTTCCTGGTGGAGGCAACTTCCCTGGAGGACAGGTCTTCCGTGAAGGCCCTGGTGGTGATGGCGATAACTACGGTCGTCGAGAGGCTTCTGGCCGCTACGATGGTGGACGTCGTGAAGGCTCTGGAGGGTACGATGGAGATCGTCGTGAAGGCTCTGGCTATGATAGGCCTTCGTTCCCTCAGGCCGAACCTACTGGGCATGATCGATACCACACCCAGGAATACCCGGGTCAGGGAGGATATGCTCCTCCTGGTGGTCCACCTCCTGGTCAGGGGGTATACGACGCTCCTCCCGGCGGTTATGGTCAACAGGGCTACGGTCAGCAGCAGCAGCACCCTCCTCCCGGAGGATATGGTCAGGGTGGATACAACAACAACCATGGTGGAGGATATGGAGGCGGGTACGGAGGCGGGTACTAAACTGTGGGAAGCTGAGCGTCCAGCTTTGCTGATCTCCTTTTGAGCTCTCTAGGCTGCGTCGGGCGCACTCCTTTACTCCACGGAGCATGTAAAGCCTGCGATTGTACGATGTTTACGAGTCGAACGCAACATGTCTACTTTTCGAATGACTCGGTTGAGGTCAAGCCTGTGATTTGCAGCGTGTGAAGCTCCTCCGCTTCAAAACGAAGCGAGCTTGTTGTGAGCAGAGCTCTCGAGAGCTATGTTACGAAGTCCCACGAATGAAGGGCCTCAGTCTCATCAACAAGACTCGTCATACCGTTATGAGCTTCGCAACTTGCTTCCGCAGGCAGACGGAGCGCTGCTGGGCAAGTCAACACATTCGCAACCACCACAAGCAATTGGATTGTTCGTGTCCACCACCGGGCCTGTGTCGTTTCTCTCATCACGAAAGTCGCTGCTGTTCACAAGCGTATTTGACAACTCGCTAGGAACAAGATCGATTGGTACAAATGCAAAGAAACACTACAAGACATGAATTTTGACTACTTGACAGGCTCGCACAAAACGGATTGAGCGGATGAGCCGAGCAAGAATCGGTAAGAAGCGGGTGTTGCTCGCATAGGCGCTCGCAAGCTGCACGATGCTGCATAGCTCTGACTGCAGCTTAAGCAGTAGGAAGAACATGATCGTCATCTGCAGCGGTGTATAAATAGCCCTCTGAGCTGAGCTCCTCAACCGCAGTCTTGACCTCGGAGACATCAACACCCTTGAGCATCCTTGCAATAAGAGCGACGTGGACACCATCGGTATGATTCTCGGCTTCCGAAGTAACGATACCCATGATCTGGCGTGGCAGAGGGTCGAGACTCTTGTACTGGTCAAGAACGCTCTGGTTATTGGAGCCAGAGTAGGCGTTGATGTCGCTGGTCTGCTCCTGGCCTCGGTAAAGACCTTGGTTGTTACCGCCGTTAGCCTGAGAGGGCTTGACGCCACGGGTGAGTTGGAGATGCGAGTGGACAGCTTCGAGACGGTGGAAGAGAACCTCGTTGTAGTCAACGACGACTCGCATGTGGCCTGCGGAGATGGAACGACGGTTCTGGAATGACTTTACGGTGCCAAGGACTCGGACGTAGACGTTCTGACTGTTGATGTCGAAGCGCAAGATGGTGTCAAAAAGGTCACAGTGAGGTCAGCAGATATTCAAGTGCTGCGGCGCCATTGCTTCCGCACCAAAGCTTCTGTATCAGCACTCCTTGGCTATGGCTTTCGCACCAAGTCGTTGCGATCAAAGCGGGACGGCCCTACCACAATGTACGGCAAGGTTTGCGGACTAAAACCATGTCAGTGCGGAAACGGTAGCACTTCCACCAACTTACCGGATATCAGATGCCTTTTGGTTGTCGTCACCAGAGCTCTCGAGCCACTGTCGCACCTCAATCTGACCAGTGCCGTCCTCAACGCTGTAAGCAACGTTTGTTGCATTCTTAGAGATGTTTCGGACCACTGCGACAAAGGTCAGCTGACCAAGTTCCGCACCGTCTAGCGTGAACTCGGCATCGGGATGAGGGTGTTCGGCATTGAGGATCTGACGGATGGTGACAGGCCTAAGTGTGTTATTGCCCTGTCGCTGCGAGCCAGATACCATGGTCGTCGTAGGCCAGTGCGAGACCGATGGGTGAAGGTGGAGATGCAGGTATGGAGGGTGTAGCGTGGAGTTGATGGTGAAAGGAAAGTGCAGAGCGGAACGGGTCAGTTTGATGGCTTTTATACAAATGAGAAGCAGCTGTCGAAGCTGAAGCTTGATGTTGCTGCGAAGAGAAGTCGCATGTTCCGCACCTTAGAGCTCGGTGAGTCGTTCTGACTGCCATTGGCCAGAAAGCCTCCTCCACTCGTTCCGCCACCTGTCGCATAGTTTTGAGCATATGGATTGCTCTCGCCTCCGAAACCTGCTCAGCGTTTGGGTTTCATTTCGTTCAGATGAGAGATTTCCAGGCCCGTCGTGAAGCGGAAGAGAAGACCAGTTGATCGTGTCCGTCGAGGAGAGGAGAGAAGTGAAGGGAGAAGGGCGGTCAGTATTGAGGCTCTTCTCGTCGATACGAGCACGACGATCTGGGGACAACAGCAGACCCGCTCTCCGCGAACGAGAGGAACCTTGTCTGTTGAACAACCTTGATAACCCATTCAGACCTTGTGTGAACATACCGTTGTTGAACATGACGACTGCTTGATGCAAATAGCTCGGGCAGAGTGTTATGAGTGAGAGGGCCGCTCTTAATTCGGTGTTGTGGTCGTTGTTGGCCAAGGATGAGCCCAAGTGGAAGAAGCAAGATGAAGCTGCGCAGCAACTCCACTGGTGCGCGTTGCCGACTGAGCTTTTGAGAATTCACGGGTGTTACTTCTTCATCCAAGGCGCGCCTTGGCAATTTACGCGTCAGAGTGAGTGTCACTTTGACAGAGAACGTGGTGGCGAAAATTCGTGCGAGAGCCGCGTTCCGCAATAGCAATTCCGACTTCCGCTCTCTTTCCACTTCATCCTCACCACTCCCAATCTGCAAGCATAGCTCGGCACCAGCTCCTCATCTCAAGGCCGCGAATAGAGGGATGCAGCAAGGTGATGGTGTCGCCGACGGCCGAGCCGACAGACAGGGTCCGGGGCCCTCGACCCTGGAGCACGCCCGGCGGATCATTTTGATTCAGTACGAGGCACGTATCCCATCGAAGTCGAGCTCTTTCGTGTGGCCGCCGAGCGCAGTCCTGCTCCAAATCCAAGCCCAGCTTGATCACGATCTGTTCCAGTACAGCAAATACGAGGCAACCACGCGATACCGCACAACGTTTCTACGCGAACTCTGTGCAAGACTCGATGCTGCTGTGCAGGATGAGTGTGCGGCCCTCCGCTTACAGGGTGTAGACGAGATCGAGTATCCGGAAGTTGATGCGGCACTACTGGAACGCTATGTCGAGACGATGTCCAGTGGCTCTTCAGGTGCGGGCACGATCGGAGCAACGCTCGGATCGGCTCCTGAGACCGAATACACTACACACTGCTGGCCACGAGTTGCCAATTCGCCTATAGAAGTTGCGGTCGAGACCGATGTCGATCTGCTGTGTGACTACGCCAAGGTGACGATCAGAGAGGAGGGAAGCGCGATATCGAAGGGCACGACAGGCTTGCGGACATGGGAAGCTGGCTTGCGACTAGCATGTCATCTGATAAGCGAGCCGTCTGTCATTACTGCGCCGGGAACACGCATCCTCGAGCTGGGATCTGGGGCGGGCTTCGTCGGGACGGTCTGCGCAACTCAGCAGCTCATGTCCCAGCAAGCTGACTTGCATACGTTTTTGACCGATGTGCCTGGTCAAGTGGTCACACGCATCCGAGAAACCCTCCACGTGAACGGGCTAGACGGGGCCACATCTGTTGTCGAAGTCAAGGAGCTCGACTGGCTGGAGCTAAGCGCAGAGCGTCAGCAAAGTCGGCAGAGAGACGATCTTCCGACGCTCAACTTTCTTGCCGATGCCAAGCCGACATTGATTCTGGCAGCCGATGTAGTGTATGACCCCGATCTGATCGATCCGCTCGTGGAAACGATCAAGACGTGTCTCGAAGCAGGCACACGGCCGTGTCGCGCCCTCGTGGCGAGCACCGTTCGCAACCCGGAGACCTATGGCGCATTCGAAAAGTCGCTAGGTGAGTGGTTCATGTCGAAGCCGCGACGGAGCTGTTGAAAGGGGTGTCTATATCGAAGCGGTGAGTACTAACGTTCGTTTTGCTGTTGTGTTCTCTCCGCGATCAACAGACTCGTTCGGCCTCAAAGCTAAAGTCATCGAGCCACAGTATCCGACTTTGCCGTTACCTGCGCCCGAAGAAAGATCGGTGGAGCTGCCAAGTTTGCCCATCTTTCCATCATCACACGTTCCAGCCCTTGATGGGCGCGTGGAGCTACGTTGCATCACTCTTCACTGAAGTAGAGTGGCTTCGTTCAATTGATAGCGGGTTTTTTGCTCCTCAAATTCCAAGCTCTAATTTTTGTCCCTGTCGGAGAATTTTCGACATCTCCCTTTTGCAGTCTCGCGATTTGGGTCTACCAAGCCACCGGTCCGAGATTGTGCTCGGAATGACTTCTAAGCCGACGATTGCACCAACACCACCTTGTGCTCCAGAGACGATGAACCTTGAAACCACACGCAATGACGTTGAGAAGTGGGTTGTATTCGTGCGAAGTGATCCGAAAGCTTGCGTGCGGTACCCTGATGGTGCGCACCACTGATGGACGGCATCGGCAGAACGTCGCCGAAGATTTCAAACTTTTGGACGCTTTGCCGTGGCGAAGAAAAGGATCGGCAAGAAAGGTTTTGGCTGCCACGAGTCGCGATCAACGCCAAGCACGGCAATGTCGCGGCGTGACTAAGCTCACCAGTCGAAGCTGCTCCAGCATCTATCTCGAACGCACTTCGAATCACGTCTTGCCTCCGCGGGAAGGCCTGTCACGATGTCGATTCTTGACTAGCCCAAACTCCTTCGTTTTCTGAGGCCTGGCGTTCCCGACGCGAATCAAACGCAACAGAAGCTGGCTTTGCTGACGCGAGAAAGCACTGCTTCCTTGTACCACCAAAGCAGTAGTAGCTGGACCGGAGAGTTCGCTCTGGAATCTTCAGGCAGTGCATCTAATCATATGCTGTTCAACTTGACTGTCGGTTGGATACCATTTGTCGACGGCAATAAAGTGGCATCGTCCCCTCGCAAATCCAGCCCGGCAAGGCACATTGTCGTATCAATGCATGCCGCAACTGAGTAGGCAGACCATATATGAGCACCATCAAGACCACGAGCAGCACAATTTGAGACATGACAAGCATCGCTGCTGCCGTCACTCCCAAGTCAGCCAGGCGACAGGAAAGGCGAAAATGTCCGAAGAAATCTCAGTCGGCCGAATCTCCAAGGATTTGGATAAGGCGCGTATTCTCATGGCCTTCTTTGGATCCGAAGATCAACCCTGCCGTCATTTGAAGCTTGGTCAGTATCTACAAGAGATGCCGGGCCGATGCTTGATGCACACAAACAGCCGTTATGCCAAGGATCGACACGGGTTACTCTGATCGTCATATCGGGCTCCATCTCGTTATGTCTCGATATGCGGTCACCGCTGAAATCACGATGACTGTTTGGAGCACATCCAATTGACTGGTGCCGTGTGTTGACGATCCCGCAGGAAGTTTGCAAAGGCGGGGGAGATGTGCCTTGCTCGCGACGGTCCAGGTGCAGTCTTGAGCTGACAGCAAGGCACCGATGCAGCTTTGAACTCAGGGAAGGACCCGTTGCTGCTGATGACTGCAGCAAGGTATTGTAGCGCACGAATTGAATGGACAAGCGACAAGGTCCTGATGGATGCAATCAGAGATACAAAGAGTGTCGAGATGAGCGCTCAACTTGTCAAACAGTGTCAAGTCAGGGGCAGGAGAGAGCATACTGTGCGTTGCAGTGTCGGATGACGGCGTGGGCTTGATTGCCGGTTCAGGGTCACAGGGATGATCGCAGATGCGTCGATGATCAGGACCTGCTTGGCTCTGCATCGAAATCATCAGGCTGTTTCCGGGCGCCTCTATATTTGAAGCGCTGCGGTCGATGCTTGATCAAATGCTCATACACTTCTTCACAACTTGGCCGAGACCATTTGTTGATACTCGAGCTGGTAAATGCCATTCAGCAGAATGATGTGCGAGTGTTTGCCGCTTCAGGAGAGTCGGATGTTCCGACGAGAGTGTAGGGAAAAGGAGCTGCCGATGTGGCCTGAGTCGAATGGCGTTGCAAATTCCTTCTTCTGAGAAAGAACCGGAAATGAAAACACAGCTAGATTTGACTTGTACGGTGCAGGTGCTTTTGGAACCTCTCTGGGTCCGCCCGCTCGGCAGTCTACTCGTCCAGATTAAAACACAGGCACAACACAGGCGCGGCGGCATGTGCAGCCGATCGACATTTCCAAGGCACTGGCTTCCAGGGACAGGCATAATAAAGACCTTGAACTGGCATTGCCACACACAGACGAAGCTCAACATGATACGCAACGCTCTTGATAAAAGTGATCACCTCGACGCCTATTCGATGTTGCGAGAGGCCAGCCAGAGAAAGAGGATTGATCTGATTCGAACGTGGTTCAAGCCAGTTCGGCTCCTCAACATTTGAAACGAAAAGAGAGGGAGACAAAAGCATTACTTGTGCGAGATGATTGACCTGAAACGAGACGAGGAGGAACCTTAGGCTCGCCTTCTCAAGTCACTTTCGAACCGCCATCTGTCCTCGTGGTCTCCGATCTGGTACGCTCAGAAGCGAGCCAGGCGCGGAAATGAGAGAAGAGGGCAACGAAGAGAACTCCTCAGGAAGGAAGCTGGCTGCCGAAGGGGCTTGAGTGAGTTCAAACTTGAGCTCCTCGCTTGTGTGTTTTTGATTGCTTACTGCCTGTCAACTACCACTTTCTGTATTCCAGTGTGAGCGTGGAAGGATTTGACTGCAGTCAGATGCCGAAGGTTTGTTCTGCCTGTCATCGCCTGTTGCAAATGTGAATTATCAGGGCGATTTCAACCGGATTCGTGTTCTCGTGGTGGGGTTGTTTGGATTTCCGATTTTCTCGCAACGATTTTCGGCCTTATTTTGGTCAAGCCTCTGCAATTCTACCTGGCAACTTGGTTCCTAATCGGATTCTTTTTTGTTCGAGCAAAGCTGCAGGCAGCCGTGGGAGATGCACGAAAAGGTCATCCTCGCTTCTAATCTGCCACAACACTGCAGGCGGGTAAACAGTATGCTGCTCTGTTGCTGCTCCTGTTGCTGCTGCTTCCAACTGCTGATGCTGCATCTCGTGCCGCTGCCGCCGCCGCGGCTGGACAAAAAAAATAAAATATCACCTCGAGTCGAGCCGTGATCGATTCGATATTCTGTTTCCCGAGGTGCGCTGCGCGTTGAACTTTTTTCACTGCCCAAGTGCCCGTTCCAGCTCCAACTTGGCTTAGATTGACTGCTGTCGTTCTCCTCGCCTGTGAAATAACGGTCACTCGCCTTCTGTTCTCGCCAGAAAGCCGGAAACACAACCCTTTTCTCGCTCTCGAACCATCGGTTTGTACTTCTGTGCTCCCAGCTATTAATAAATAATTACTAATGATCTTAGCCTTCACTGTTTTGAGTAGTTGAGGTCTCTTCAGTCAGGCGCTCGCTCTCTGACTACTGTACGGAGGATCTCATGCTTTCGATTCCGTCGCCTCCAATGTTTTAAGGTGTAGAGGCAGCGCGTAGCAGTGGTGGCAGCTCAGCTGATCCCTCCAGTTTTTTCTTCTTCTTTACAATTCCATTTTCCTGATTTTCTGCCCGTTCGCCCGTGCGTCGACAGAATCTGCACGATGTTGTGTATTCGTGCGTCTGCTCTGTTTGTTTTCCTCTTTCTCTCTGCCGCTGATTGTCTGATTGTCTGCGGCTCTCATACCTCTTCCGTCCCTCGCTCTGTGCTCCCCTGCCAAGTCTCACTGTCGCCGCCGCTTCCGCCTGATAAACAAAGGCTCCCCCTCCATCGCTAGCCAAAGTTCGTAGCTTGCCTATTCTTCCTTTCGATTCATCACCATCATCCTCAAGATCCTCCCTTTCCCTATCTCTCCGCAATCCTTTCCTCTCTGCGAACGACGTGACTCTTGTCTGTTGAATCGCGTTTCACCGGCTACCTCAATCCCATCGGTAGAGTGAGAGAGTTCCTTTTCTAGCGCCGCAACCAAGCGAGCGATCATCTAAGTACAACGTAAGTTTCCACATCTTTCGTCGTCTATCTACAGCATCGCAGCAACTCTTTTAGGTGTTCTCTGCATTGCTGCGCTGACGAGAACAGGCAGGTCAGGCCGTCGGACAACTGCGATTAGCGGTCGCAGCTGATTTCGAGTGTTTCCAGTCACAGATCTGTATTGCAAGGCAAGCAGGTCATACCTGGCTCTGTCTGTTGTCTTGTTGTTTTGGTCTGCTTGCCCAGATTGCCAGCTATGGACTTCTCCTGATCAATACACTTTTATTGTCGTGGAGCAGAAACTGACCTTGTCGCATCTTGTCTCTTCCTTTTCGCCCCGTCTTACACTGTCGTCCGCTTTGTTTCATTCCTTCCCTTTCCTTGCCTCCATCTCCCGCCTTTTTCTACCCTTTCCTCCTTCTTACTTCCTCTGATCACCACTATTAGCTTATACACAAGTGCTCAGTCAGACTAGTTCCACACAATGTCCGACAGCTCCGCTACCCAGGAGGGTAGAAACGAGAAGACCTTGGGCGGTGTCTCTGAGGAGTACGCTCAGCTCATCGAGTTCATCCGTGCCCAAAAGTCCACCGACACTGACGAGGAGGGTGGCGATGAGACTCACGTTGTCAAGAAACGCCAGTTTCCCGCCTTCTGGAAGACCAAGGAGGTCCGTGTCAACAAGCACGGTGAAGTCCAGGAGGTTGCCCAGAAGGTTCCTGCCTCCTGGCTCGAGACTGACATGCTCAAGGGTGTCAGCGAGTCCGAGGTCGGCCACCGCCGCTCCCTCTTCGGTTACAATGAGCTCGAGTCTCCCAAGGAGAACCTCTTTCTCAAGTTCATTGGTTTCTTCCGTGGTTCCGTCCTGTACGTCATGGAGCTTGCCGTCGTGCTCGCTGCCGGTCTCCGTGACTGGATTGACTTTGGTGTTATCATTGCCATCTTGCTCCTCAACGCCTTCGTCGGTTGGTACCAGGAGAAGCAGGCCGGTGACATTGTTGCCCAGCTCAAGGCTGGTATCGCTCTTCGCTCTACTGTTATCCGTGACGGCCACGAGGTCGAGGTCGAGGCTCGTGACCTTGTTCCCGGCGACATTGTCGTGATCGAAGATGGTAAGACCGTTCCTTGCGACGGTCGCGTTTTGGCTGCCTACGAAGACAAGGACGGGTCCCAGGCCGCTGCCATTCTCGAGAAGGCTCGTGCCTCTCGCCGCGAGGGCGACGACGAGGACGAGGGTGTCGACAAGGGTCCTGCCATCATCGCTTGTGACCAGTCGGCCATTACTGGAGAGTCGCTCGCCGTTGACAAGCATATCGGTGACACCGTCTTCTACACCACCGGTTGCAAGCGTGGAAAGGCTTACGTTCTTTGCACGGACATTGCCAAGCAAACTTTCGTCGGTCGCACTGCCGCTCTCGTCCTCGGTGGCGAGACTGAGGGCCACTTCCAGAAGGTCATGGGCTCCATCGGTTCCGCTCTTCTCTTCCTCGTCATCGTCTTCACCCTTATCTTCTGGATCGGCGGCTTCTTCCGCAACACTGGTATTGCCACCCCCGCCGACAACAACTTGCTCATCTATACCTTGATCTTCCTCATCATTGGTGTTCCAGTCGGTCTTCCTTGTGTTACTACCACCACCATGGCTGTCGGTGCCGCTTACCTTGCCAAGCGCCAGGCTATCGTTCAGAAGCTCACTGCCATCGAGTCTCTTGCTGGTGTTGACGTTCTCTGCTCCGACAAGACTGGTACCCTCACTGCCAACAAGCTTTCCATTCACGAGCCTTTCACCTCTGAGGGTGTTGACGTCAACTACATGATGGCCGTCGCTGCTCTTGCTTCGTCCCACAACGTCAAGTCGCTCGACCCTATCGACAAGGTTACCATCTCGACCCTTAAGGACTACCCCGGTGCTCAGGACGAGCTCGCTTCTGGCTGGATCACCCACAAGTTCATCCCCTTCGACCCTGTTTCCAAGCGTATTACCGCCGAGGTCGAGAAGGATGGCAAGCAGTACATCGCCGCCAAGGGTGCCCCCAACGCTATTCTCAAGCTCTGCGCTCCTGATGCCGAGACTGCCGCCCAGTACCGAAAGGTCGCTGGTGACTTTGCTTCGCGTGGTTTCCGTTCGCTCGGTGTTGCCATGAACACTGACGGTCAGTGGAAGCTCCTTGGTCTTCTTCCCATGTTCGACCCTCCTCGTTCCGACACCGCTGCCACCATCGCAGAGGCTCAGTCGCTCGGTATCTCGGTTAAGATGCTTACTGGTGACGCCGTCGCTATCGCCAAGGAGACCTGCAAGATGCTTGCTCTCGGCACCAAGGTTTACGACTCACACCGTCTCATCGGCTCTGGTGGCATGGCTGGTTCGGCTATTCACGATTTTGTTGAGGCTGCCGACGGTTTCGCTGAGGTCTTTCCCGAGCACAAGTACCAAGTCGTCGAGATGCTCCAGCACCGTGGTCACTTGACTGCCATGACTGGTGACGGTGTCAACGACGCTCCCTCGCTCAAGAAGGCCGACTGTGGTATTGCCGTCGAAGGTGCTTCCGACGCTGCCCGATCGGCTGCCGATGTCGTCTTCCTCGACGAGGGTCTCTCGACCATCATCACCTCGATCAAGGTCGCCCGTCAGATTTTCCACCGTATGAAGGCTTACATCCAGTACCGTATCTCGCTTTGTCTCCACCTTGAGATCTACCTTGTGCTCACCATCCTCATACTTGACGAGGTCATCCGCTCCAACTTGATCGTCTTCATCGCCCTCTTCGCCGATGTCGCCACCATTGCCATTGCTTATGACAACGCTCCCCACGCCAAGGCTCCCGTCGAGTGGCAGTTGCCCAAGATCTGGATCATCTCGGTCGTCCTCGGTTTCTTGCTTGCCGCCGGTACATGGATCATCCGCGGTACTCTCTTCTTGAACAATGGTGGTGTCATTCAGAACTTCGGTAACACTCAGGAGATTCTCTTCCTCGAGGTTTCGCTCACTGAGAACTGGCTCATCTTCATCA